AAGGCATGCTGATGAGTTCTGTTTGTTGTTTTTCTTGAACAAACTTTAATTGTTTTTGATTTTCCTAAGGATTCAAGTGCCGCGAGTTTTATTCATTGTTTGTTTGCTCATCAGCAGAATGATGCATGGAGAACTGTGGACAGTTTGCCTTTTTTTTTTGAAGCCTTTCCAAACGCTCAGTTGGCAAAACAAATCGGGCAACGGAAAAGGGGATAACTCAAATGGCTCACCCTAGCCTAATTAAATGTACATTTGTGGAGCTTCCCCTGAAGAAGAGGGGGATTTCAAGTACCATCCCGAGCTCTTTCAACTGCCTGACAAGATTCTAGCTAACTCTGCACAGTACACTGAAAACAAAGGAGGGTCTTATGACTGTGTCAACTTAAAAATAAGTTTTAAACTGTACACAACTCTGAAACTAAAAAAAAAAACAAATATGAGAGATTAGAAAAAAATATTTTATGCATTTTTTTAACATTGTTGTATTAAAAAGGAACGCTGTACTCGACCTTTCGACTAAAAAATACCTATTACTCATATAATCAGTTTATAAATGACTGCCGATGTTTAAGTTATACTTTATGTCTATACTTTAGTTTTTTATAAGAGACGACACAGTAGGAGTTATATAGACGTAAAAAGCGCAGAATTTTTGTTAAAAATCGTGGTACATCCACCTTAATCTTTATACCATATGAGTTAAACAAGCTTAAGGTAATAAATACCATGGCAGAAATATTTTTTTTCTTCAAAATCGAGCGGAAAAGGACCTCTGGTGCTATGACATTGGACAAAATAATATGCACCCGAATACAATATACCCTCTTATTCTACGAGTAACAGGTATACAAACTCCCGGGTACAGAGGTTTCCGTTTGTCTCCTTTCCAACTTCTACCACTTGAAAATTAGCAACGACCATTGCCAAAATGTCACGTACTCTTGGGTACTGGGAGCTCCGTGTAAATGTGAAAGATATGCCTAGGGGGTGAAAACTCGAAATACCGCTAATTGTTGCACATGCTGCGTACCTCACGGCGTACTTCAATAACCCCATCGCACCCCCACAATTTCGAACTGTATGCATTCGGCTTAAAGCCCCGCCACGTTGCACTTTGTTTATAGAACTCGCAGGCTCTTTCTGTTGGAAACACTCCCTCCCAACTACACTTTGTGGCTCATCTGCATGGCAAATTGAAAATTGCGCTCATTTATTTCATTATTGGAAAATGTTTTTGTCTTGTCCCATTCAAATAGCCGTGAAATTGCATTTGATTTTGTCTGTGGCAAGTTGCAAAGAGATAGTAGAGCGGGTAAGTAAAGTGATGAAAATCGTTGCATTATCTATAACAAATTTCTGTTTAAATCTTATTGAAATAAAGTGTTGCGGTTCCATTCCATACATTTCTTTTAAAACGACTTCCTGAAAACTCTCTACAAATGACCTATACCGGATTTTTTCATGACTAATAACTTTTTTCAATAACATCAAATCATTACAAAAAGTCTTTCTTGTATTACAATATAAACTACAATGATTTATCCACTTAATGTCCTTAGGGCAGTCTATAAATTTTAAATAATGTGAGGTACCCATCTATATTATCACTTACCTAGATATTTCGACAATACTACCTTACATTTCAACCCTTTTCAATTTCCCGCTTTCGTGGAGTTAAGTTTACATTACAATAAGTAAAACAATTGTATTGAAATGACCCGCATTTTGATCGTATCACAACCCGCTTGACTCAGGCTTCATATATTTGTTAACTTTATTTTTATGGCCGTAAGCTGAAAGCTGAAAATAAAAATGGGAAATGTGTGAAAATTGGGTAAGCTAAATGTGTGTGCGGGTTGCGATAAGCATGTACAGTAACTTTTTCGCACTCAATGCGATTAGATAAGAACACACGAAATTTGGGAAAACGAAAATCAAACAAATGGATTGGCTCATAAAATTAGCTTGTAATGAAACTTGTTACTTAAGAAAGGAAACATACTACAATAAAATGAAATGGAAAAGCAAAAAGAAAATCTTTCTTTCAACCTCCTTCTTTCGAGCGCCCTGTAATTATGAACATCTAAAGAAAAATGTTGTCCCACGCTGAGATAAACCACTTTGGATATTTATGTATTGCGTGGTAATTATATAAAGTAAATATACTCTGAAACTTATCTTATAGTTTCTCTTTGTTTTACTTCTGTTAAGCGGTAATTGAATTTACTCTGATGGATGCCTAATGCGGTTATCTTGTGAGTAAGACTCACTTAAGACTCGCAATGAAAGCTATAGCACATACAACACAGTGGCGGTTCATATTAAATCTTTAAAAAAATATATATAATAAAATGTATGTATTCCTCACACAAGCCCATCGCCCCAGCCGATAAACACCCATTTTGTGCCTCATTATAATTTTGTTAAATGTTATGTAAAACGAGTGTCATGTTCTCCATCCCCCATCAGCACTTTCCCTATGGCGCCTCATTGACGACTCTCCGGTCCTTAGAGGGTTGCCCACTGGCTTCCATTTACAGTGACGTTTTGACTTTTAATTGTGTTTTAAAGTGTTGCGACCGCCCTTTGAGCCACGCGGTTCAATTTCGCCTGCACTTGGGTCACTTTCAGGCCATTTGGCTTTGATTTAGCTCGGCCGTTTGGTCATTTGATGCCTAATTAAATTTAACGATGACGTTGATTTCTTTCTCCACTAGTTCGTCGACTTCTCCAGGGATTGGTGGCGGCGAGCGGTTTTGTTTTACATTATCCAAACGGTTTTGCTTACTAAATGATTTTCTGCGAATGCAAATGTGAGTTCTAAAATGGGTACTATTGTAACCTAATAAAACTAATAGAACTTTAGTATTTTTATTTTTTTGTAGCACATGATTTCGTTGCAGTGTAGAACTGAAATTTCTTTCTACAATAAGCACACCAGAAATTAGGCATTATTTTAGAAAAATATTGAGAAAAATTAAAGATCAATAGAGAAAGCAACAGTCGAGTGCCCCGACTATCAGATGCCCTTTACTCAGATAATGGCAGAGCGATTGAGATGGAGATATGCGAGGTGCAGAGCGACACCTAGCGCCAAAAACTTATATTGCTCATAACTTTTTAGTAAATAGTCTGATTTGGAAAAATATTGGATGGGTTTAAAATGTAGGCTCTAGAATTTTATGCACATTCAAAACTGGAATGTTGGTTTCCTACCTTGTGGGTAGTAGCTTAACCATTGAGCCAGCATGTTTTCTCGCTAAACAAATAATTAAATAGAAGTCCTTTAAAAAGGAGGTCATATATAAAGGATTGTAAGTCACGGGTCCTTATGCGAGGGCGGGATCAACATTCATCAGAAAATCTTTTCGTAGTCACCAGTCTCGAATTTGCCACCATCTCAGTTCCAGCTCCGTTGTGCCGGCATTTAAGGGGAGCGTATGAAAAGGATTCTGCAGCAGGATGGCAGCTAATAACAGGATTAACACAAAGGAGGGAAATTGAATTTTATGCCAATATACTTAACCAGGCGCTTAAAGTGTCACTCGGCTCGTGGACTCAGCTGAAGAATCGAAGCCCGTCGATGACGGGGATATGGGTATGGGGACGGGAATAGCTTCGGCGACGAGCAAACACAAAGTCCCAAACGTAATTTTCACGAATTCATTGAACTGCGTGAGTGTGAAAAATAACAATTTAGATAAATATTGCGCCGGCGAGCTCCATGGGCGTGGATGCCTTGTCATACACGGCGGGAGTCAACATCGGCGACATCGGAGCTCAGAGCTTGGAGCTCGGAGCTCAGACCTTACTCTAGACGGCAAGCGCATCGACCGTTGACACAGAAATCATATTAATATAAATTAACGATGTGGAAAATTTAGTTTAGTAGTGAAACCCAAAGAATAAGCAGCGGCAGCCACTGAAGCCGAGTCAGTTGTATGGCTCACGTCGCCGGCTCATCAGTCAAAATGTCCTGGCGAGAAAATCCCAAAGCAACCCATGCCGATTCCCATATCCCAACCCTGAATCTCAGCAGTGAGGGATTGTTTTGGTATCGCAATTCTTTGCTCCTGGACCCCGGTGTTACAATTTGGACTAAATCAATCTCCATCTGTGATTATTTTCTTTGTTTTTCCATTTTGAAATTAATTGGCATTCCCTGATTTAATTTCAATGCACTTTGTCAAGTACGTGGAAGGGAGGCGGGACTTGGCGTTAATAACCGCCTCATATTCATCGACATAATCATAATCCGATTATGCCCACCTGATCCAGGACATGCACATTCACCAACGACATAGTGTATTAGCTTTCACTGACATCCAACATGTTGGAGTACCTATCAGCAGTCTGGAAAATGGAAGGGGTAGCTGTCGAGTGGATTGACTTTTTAAAACTTGTTGATTGCAAATTAATTAGGGAAAGTTTTCAATAAGGCAAAAAAAGAATTTAAGGGAAGATAAAATGTTCTTTGAACCCAAATGTGGGTGAAGTGGATTAGCTTTTCTTATAAATACCGCTAGAAAGCTTGGCATTTTTTCCTAAATATGGTATCTTTTTATTTAACTAAAATGTTGATTAAACATACAAACTGAATTATAGTCATCCAATTTCAGAAACTCAAAAAAAAATGCCCAAAAATGTATAAGAACTAACCACTAATAATAATGTCATAAATAACTACGAATTGAAATCATCAAAATACACTTAAACTGTTTTTAGTTTTTAAATGGCTGGTTTTTTGTCGGTTTGTCAGATTTCATCTGTATTAAAATATTTTTACATATAGAGCAAAGTTAATTTTTGTAGGTTGTTCGTTTTATTCACCGAGGTCAAATTTTGCTTCTTCTATTTTAGTGGAAAAAAAACAAAATTTGTAAAAATAACCAGTTTCTTATTCCGCTGAATAGCAGTCCCCCTAAAATTGGGACATATCTCGCTTACCGCCATTTAATTTCCACAAGTAACACACAAATGAAAATGTAAATCATTTTTCATTTAAAAACCCTTTTGATTTATTGCTGATACATGTAGAATAATATTCTGTATTATATTGTACTGTTGAAAAATCAATAAAATAAATCTATTACAATTGTCAAGATGTATGCCAATGTCAAAAAACAAAATCATTTTCCAACTAGTGCAGCAGCCGCATTCTATAAACTCTATTGCCGCTATAAAGTGGCTCTTTGAACTGTGTTTATTGGGATATAGGCTTGTCATGGACCTCCACTGGCAAGGATTAGTTCAGAGCTCGGAGACTCGTCATTAGTGCCAAAAATGAAGGCCAAGACAGTAGACTGCGTGCATGGTTGTTTTCAAAGGCTTTGGGTAAGCGGGTGATTGTTGTTGTGTGGGTTACATTAAAACATTATGCTGTTGTTGTCAGAATCTGGATGAGTTTGGGTTTTAGCAATAACGATAACTTTGCAAACGACATTAAAATTTGGATGAAAGAGAGATAACTGCTAGCGCTTGCGTTCTTGGTAGAATTCGCGAATCAACTGGCGCAGATAGCGCATCTCGTTCCGACGATCCTGCAGAGTGCGGCGAAGCTGCTCGTTTTCCTGCGACAGCACGTGCTCCTCGCCCGCCACGTTCTCCATTTCGAGCTTCTTCTTCTGGCGGTATCGTGTGGCCGCGTTTTTGTTCTGCTCCTTTTTACGGATCTTGCGATCCTCTACACCGCGACCATACGTGCGAGTACGCTTCTTTGGCTTGGCCACAGACTGCTCCACGTTTGTGTGAGCTGGCGAGGAGCAACTGCTCGTGGGCTCCGGAAGCCAGTCTTCATCTGCGTCCGCTATGCTGCCGTTCACTCCGCTGCCTGTACTCCTGCTATCCAGCGAAGAAGAGGCCTGAGATTCCGAGTCGTCGTTGAACTGCTGCCAGTTTGTGGTCAACTCGAGCTCCTTGGCACGCATGTTGACGATATCATCGACCAGTTGGTTCTCGCGTGCGATTTCGCTGCCGCCTACCCAGTTGTTGAAGTTAAAGGGCGTGGCGGCTGCCGCACTTGTAGCATCAGGAGTATAGCATTGCTGTAATATTTGTGTTTATTTAGAACATATTTAATTGGTAGGCACACGTTTGTTATGACTTACCTTCTGCTCGGCCTTAACAGGCACGAGCTGTGGCGATTCCACTGGCTGCTTGTAAGCATCGAATTGAGGCGGAGACTGCGGCGGCGTCAATTGCTGAAGGATGAGGGATGGGGAATCGCCGAGCTGGTAATCGGCGGAAGAATCGAGTGAAGCAGCGAATTGTACTTTGTTGACCGGTATTATCGGCTGGCTGACAACATCGATGTCGGGATGATAGCTGTTCCTCTCATAATCGTTGCAGCTGATGGTAGCCTTTTGATCCAGAATGCATTCTAAGAAAAATAAAAATTGAAAGCTTTAGACATTGCTATTTTACGATGTAATATCTCTGACATTTTGTTTACTTCAGGACCGTCTTCTAAAAAGCTTTTTCTATATTATATGTACCTTTTCTAAACGCTCAGTGAATTCAAAATAAAATAAACACACATAGATTTAACATAAAATCCTATTTTAAATCCTATTTGTTGGCGAACAAAAAATGTTCTCAAAAGGTAGCCACAGTTTCAGCCGACCAAGTAATTTGGAATCAAAAATAAAAACTACATTTTAATCTAGATGAATGCAGTTTTTGTATGAAACTAACAATTTAAAAATATTGAAAAATAGTAGTTTGCCAAGACTTAAGTTTTTTTTTTTTATAAAATAACCGTTTTTTAATTTTTATGTTTTGCTTTAATGGCATCTATTGAATTATAAAATAAAAAAATAAAAGAAAAATGGCTATCAAGAACTCAAACATCATTCTATGATAGGTTTTATTTTATTCTTCCGTTCTCGTACATTTTTCTCCAACTTCATAAACACAATCTACGTCTCAGCTCTGCCTTAGCAAATTGTTGTTTTCTATATTTTTCCACTCTCAATTGAAACTTATTTCCATTGAAGTGAAGGACGCCACAAATGCTCGTATCTCGTTCAGAACTCTAGTAAACATTTACATATTGATTGTGGCATATTTTCATCAATATACGTTTGATTTGCAGTTCTTTTCAATTCGCTTTTATTGAAGAGCGACAGAGAACACATATATTGAACAAAGTTCGACGACATCAGTTTTATTATTTGATAAAAATGAACTGACAAATCACGTTGAGACAGTAGTATTCCATCGCAGAAAAATCCGATGTGAGTGCAACCTTACAGAAACATTGATGCAACACCTGCTTAGCTTGTAAAAGTTGACCTAGCGACACCTTGGGCTGGGCGAGTCTAAACAATCACCTATCTCCCAAGATCGATTCTGCATTAGCATAACACGTTTCACATCGATTGATCTGGAAAACAGCTGCGCTTGAATACATTGAAAGGAGAAAAACTGTAACTGCGTTATTTGATTTACATAAAAATGCAACACTAAACTTTTTCTGTTACCATGCATAGCACACTACTTTACTATAATTTTATATGACATTGTGTTCCGCAGGGAAAGGGAGAAAACTTTCAGTTAAAAAATTAAATATTAAAAAAAAATCTACCCGGAAATTCATATCTGTTTATAAATGTTCCTTATCAGTATTTGTATTCCTTTTATTTTTATTTTAATTGGACTTGCATTTAAAGACTATATATAAAACGTTTAAGTCTTATTACTAATTTAACTTCATAGAGCTAGCGCGAAAATTTCAATATTAAGTTAAGAAAACATTGTTGCCAATCGAATTATCAAATGAAACGACAGAGGCAGCTATATCACCAATCGTAAAGAAAATAAAAAACATATATAAATGTGTTATATATATAAATATTTAATGAGAACATGATTAGCAAAAACCTTGACGCAAAATGACTTTATAGACAAATAAATGTGCACTTTAATTGCGATTGGTTAACCTAGATTGCTGGGAATATCAAGAAAGCTAATGTTAAATTCCCACTGTGGATCGCAACTGCAGCGCGTTTTTTTAACGTGATTCTGAATTTCAAAAACATAGCTGAGCTTAATAATAGTAGATATTGCTTCAAGATAATATGAGTTTTCAGTTGATCCCCAGTTAAAAAATTCCAGTAACCCAGCCCAATTCCAGTCATAATATGCAAATTAATTATATAAATATTTTACTGAACGCGATCAATAAAAATTCAGCAGGAGTACGTATCAATTTAATGATAAACCGGATCGACCTGAAAGTCATCTGAAGTGGTCAAAGAGCCGTAGTAACCAACTGACTGAGCCAGAAGAGCTTTATTTGGGATTATTAATAACATAACATTGGTATACTAACCATAGGCTTGCATAAATATATATGTACTCATGTTTGCGGCAGCAGTGAATCGTAATGTTGTCGAATGTCAAGAAATTGTATCTCAAGTTGCAAGTAAAGGCAGTAAAATATGAGTTGAAAACAGACTTAACCTAAACTATAAAGAAAACTGTCGAGAAAAACTAATCTAATATGTAAAACAATGAAAAATCATATAATTCTAGACAAAAACCTAAATTAATATATTAACGATATGCGCTTTGCAAGTATATAATAAGTAAAATATATGAAATATTTGAAAAAGAAAAGTAAAAATCACAGAGTCAATTTTGAATGTACAATCGAATAAGCTCGAGAACGTGCTGTTTAGGCGGTTAAAGGTCCAACGCTTATGCTGAATCGGTTAAAACTTTAAGTTAAATCTTAAAGAACACAAAAAACAGAGTGAAATAATTTGAGTTATGGCTTTTAATTGTGTGTCTGTCCTTCGGTTTCCGTTTCTCTGTCCGTGGGATCCAACTGCTGCCGCAAAATGGTCGGCGTGGTCGGACAACTTGGTTTCCTGCTTAGCGTCGTTTCACCAACTTTTGCGAATTTATCACAATTTCACGGTTCCACATGTAACGGTATCCACAGTGTGGTATCATGCTAACAAAGTCCTTAATGCCCGCACTCGAATTTTCAGGTGCTCGCGACGTTCTCGTGGATTCGTCTATTTTTCCGGAATTGGCTACATATAGTTGGCACTCGATAGTTGCCTCAAGCGGACTCTGGCCGTTTTGTTTGCCGCCGTTGTTGAAAGGTTGAGTGGTCTAAAAGGCCTTCACTTCACAGCTGCCCAATCACTTCACAAAGTTCGGATATGAGGTTACGGCTAAGGCGTTTAGCTTAGATTACAAGTTACTTTGACTTGTTCTTAACGACACGCCAGATTTCCTTCGCCAAAACCATTTATCAAATGTCTTATAACGCACTTATTTAAATCAATTTTCTAGATTCCCGCGACTGCCTTTTTCGTCTTTTTTGAGCGTTTTAAAAACGTCAAGACGTGCGATTGTCTGGTTGTACTTCTCAGCTTGTTTGTTATTGTCTCGGTTTGCCTTTTCTTTGTGTTGTGGTTGCTTTTATTCAAGACGGGTTGGATGGGAGGGGGGCGTTGGGCGGTAATCGAAGTCGAAGCCGAGTTTCAATACGAATGCTCGCGTCTGAGTAACGCTTTATACTGAGTTCCGATCGCGGAGCACGCCAGGTTTTTGCTCGACTAACTGGCAAACGAGAGTGAGCAAATCATACTGGGGGGTAGACAGCAGAGCCCAGAGAGAGGCCCTGCATTAAGATCAATCTGTTGGTTTATTTCGAGCCCGAGATGCTATCAGCAGAGACAAGCGAGCAGTCGCAGCACGAGCCAGTACGATCCAAGCCAACGGACTCTGCACAGTGGTGCCCAAACCATTTTACTGACCCATGGTCGAGTGAAAGTTAATCAAACTTCATGTTTTCACTTCAAGGGTTCACGTCTGATGGACCTGTCTACATTTTCATTAATCATATTTTCTTTAATTATATTATTTCATTTAAAATGAATTATTTTACATGGTCACTATCAAAAACAGACTATTTTTAAGATGGTTTATTGTTGTTAGTTTCATCAATTATGTTTCCTATTTTATTTAACAATTAAAAAAAAAAAAGACTTCGAAAAAAACTTAAAAACTGAGAATAGATAGGCTTTTGATACTATTCACCACTGTTCTTCTCTCCCCGTTTATTTCTTATAGAAATGCATTTCCAAAGTAGGCGTGTTTTAAATAGTATTATCAACTGCTTCTTATGAGTACATGAGCAGTCAGTCACCTCTCACCCTCTACCACAATCGAGTCACTGAGTTGGTTGCTCTTAATGTTAGCAGGAACAAATAAATGTGTTACTGGGCAGAGGCCAGTTATTCGAGGCTTTTCCTTGATAATGTGCATTGAATAAAGAGTATATAATATACTAAAGTATAAAATAATATAATAAAGCATATAGTAATTTATACACACATACAGCCAAACTTTTACAGCTTAATAATGTTACTTATTAATCAGAGAGATTGCTCTCCTGAACCAAGTTATTTTAAGCATTTACCTGACCAAGCCCCAAAAATGGGGGGCACGTCCTTCGGATAAATTTAACAACAAAGAAACTTCCTGTCCTGTTTAAAAAAATTCAAAAATATGATCACCATATCTGCGTCAAGTGGTTCATTGATCGAAACATTTGATATGTTCGTAAACCTCTCTTTGTAGGAAGAGTTTCTGGTTTGTTTCAAAACAAACCAGACCCGATAATGTTTAACCTTCAATTCAGCATTACGAAGTTTTTGAGGTTCATGAGAGAAGAGAGAACTCTAACCGTGCGGAGATTTGTTTGAATTCCACCGTGAAATAGCACACTACCAGCTGTTATCTATGGAATTCTTTGAAGTATCAGCTGAGCGCCAGTAAAGAGCCAAAAGAGACCGCTAAAGAGCGAATTGGAGAGTCCCAGCGATCACTCGCTCAATGCGTGATCAAGCAAAGCAAACTGATCAAAAGCTGATTCCGATTTCATTGCTCTCTCTCTCGCTCTCGGTCTTTGTTATTGCTTCGAAATTGGCCATTACAACTTTGGCTTGTGGGCCACGTTAAAAAAAACAACAATAAAGAGACGGTGAAAACAACATAAGTATAAGACGGTAAAAATATCAGCAAATACGCTAAGGAAAACAAAGCCAGTCTTGAACCGGTTTCTCAACTTCACTTGTCTGAATATTTCGTTCGAAAAGATTTGATGTGCGGGCCCCTTTATGACTCGGGCGTCATTCAATAATACCTATAGGTTTAAATAGCCTATATATAGGGACTGAAAACCTTTTTTCTTAGCTACATATTTTTACGGAAATACAAAACCCTCCACATGTAACAGGTTTATGTATAAGCAACAACAATTGTTTTTATATAACAGTTGAATTGTAAGATTTTCCAATGATTTATTTATGTCATTTTTTTGCCAATCAGTTTGCAGACGTTCAAAGTTCAAATGAATTTTTAATTTTTTGCGCTTTGTGTTTTCCCTAGCTTTGTTTATATAGTATTGTCTTTGCTAGATGTATAAAATTTGTTTAAGTTTCTTATAGAAAGGTGTTAAAGTTATTTTATTTAGATTTTAGATTGAGTAGACCGCTTAGAAAAACGAATTTGAGAATTATTTACGATCACTATATACAAATAAGAAACACTAACCGATTTTGTTAAATTTTTGTCTGCCTTTTAGAAAAATTAATTTGAGAAGTTTTTACGAAAAGTGAATATATTTACTTATACACATTTTGAAAAATATTTACAGAATTATTTAAAGCTTTACGTCTGAATAAAAATAAGTAGATATTGCACATTATAGTTACTTTCCTCTCCTACTTTTTTATATAAAAATTTTTTTACCAATTAAATTGACCAGGAATTTAGTAGTTAAAGACTATTGTCGTATTGTTTACAAATATTCCTGTTTTTTCTAACATAAAAAAAGAAAATAAAAGACTAGGTTCTCAAAAGCAATTTTAAATAAGACTATAATTTAACATACTCTAAAAAATCGAATACCTAAATTAGCCTTACCTTCATCCTTCAGGTCGAAGATCTCCACAACCAACTCCTCGTCGCTGAGCAGCTCCAGAGAGGCTGCCTCGTTCAGGCTTAGAGCTTCTTCGTCGCCAATAAGAGTAATGCCTGGAAACAAGAAACTTTAGCAATCTCATTGGAATAGGACAATAAGGAGCACAGACCATTTGCAAAGTTATCGTCATATAGCCACTCCGCATCTGATGGGTCAGTAAGCGAGAGCAGATCGGAGCCCAACGCCGATGTTGGGGATTGCGGCTCCAGCTTGAGGTCCCAGTACAGCTCCTTGGGCAACTGCAAACTCTCCATGGTTTCTTGAAATGATGCGTCCATATTCAGAATCAAAATCAGAAGTCAACGATATGTTTTTTGTTGGTAAAGTGAAGTCCGGTCCGAAGAATGTGAATGGTTGTATTTGCGGTGTGTCTTGTTGTTGTGAAGATGCCATGATGGCACTGAAATGTTGTAGAAGAAAAGGAATCCTGATTAGTTTATTGTTTAAACACGGCAATACCTGAATGAATCGCACGGTTATTTAGAAGACCCCAACGAAATCAGCTTGACCGCAAAGTCATGCTGATAAGCTATCATCGCCACCCTTTTAGACAAAAGTTCTGTGAAATTTCCCCGGAATAATGTGTAAATCTAAATAGGAATTTTGAACTTTAAGCAGGCAGTATGTAAATTAATAAATAAATAGGAATTTAACTTAAACTTCTGTACTATAATATTTTAACTTGATATTTTCACATATTTTTATATTTCCCTTGAAACCTTTGCTATGCTGATAACAGAGTTGAAAAAATGTGCGTTCAAGTACTAAAATAAGAAAGTCTTACTCTTTTTTAATTTTTCTAAACCAGAACTGAAAAATCCTTTTCAATCAAAGTACAAATTGTAGGTACAAATTAAAAAAAAAGCCAATACATACATTTTTGGAGCGGGAAAAAGTAAACAAAAATATTTGCAGTGTGCGTCACTGTACGTCACTGTGTTGCGTACACGTTTTAGACATTCTGCCGAACCAAAGGGTGCGTCCGCGTGGGGTAGTCCTCACTGTGGTGAGTCATCTGTCCAAATTCCGCACGTGCAGGCGACTTGCAACGCGAATTACCCAACTCCAGCAGGCGATTGCGTCAGCCAATTTCTCTACCTGGTTGCATGCCCCATGGCCCCAGGGGGTTTGGATTTGCCACGTTAACATGGCCACTGGCCAATCGAGAATCCATACAAGCCGATCCCACAAACACACGTGCAGCAACAATGAATGTGCAACGCCGCAGTGCGCCAGTGTGCGTGGGACATTGCGAAATTGGCGAGCGTTTTCGATTTGAGGCATACTCACGATTGTTTTTTATACGTTTCCATTTTGTTGTGTTTGGGGCACCTAGGTGCGTTTGGTTTTTGCTTGCGCGCAAACTATAGAGCCATCTTTACGTCAGTATAAATGCCGAAAACGTTGGAGAAAATAACAATTGGACCTTTTTGCGTTTCATTTGGAACGTTAATGGTTGTTGTTGTTGTTGGGGTTGGGGTCGGTGTTACCAGGTGGGGAAATGGCCTCCATCGATATTTCACTACGATTGTATTTCGTTCCAACTAGCAATTGTCAGCTCACAAATGTTTCTATGTTTCCACCTTCCGCCAATTTGGCGCTCCTAAATGTTAGATTTCATGGTTTTTCTAACAGCAATGTTAAGATACAACGTTTCCTTACATTGGCAGAGCAGCAGCAGAGGACTAACAGTTCTGCCAATGTAAGAAAACGTTGTATCTTAACATTATGTTAAATTGAACGTTAATGGTTGTTGTTGGGGTTGGGATCAGTGTAACCAGGTGGGGAAATGACCTCCATCGATATTCCACTACGATTATATTTCGTTCCAACTAGCAATTGTCAGCTCACAAATGTTTCTATAGAGGGCGCCCGTTTCCTCAAACCTGTTTCCTCCTTCGGCCAATTTGGCGCTCATAAATGTTAGATTCCATGGTTTTTCTAACAGCAATGTTACGATACAACGTTTTGTTACATTGGCAGAGCAGCGGCAGAGGACTAACAGTTCTGCCAATGTAAGAAAACGTTGTATCGTAACATTTATGTTAAATTGAGAGCGGATCGATATTTCACAGCGATTGCATTTCGTTCCAATTAGCAATTGTCAGCTCACAAATGTTTCCATAGAGGGCGCACGTTTTCCTCTACAAAATCCAGCATTTTCCGCTAAATTCAAAAGCAATATTGGATAGCCCTAATATGGTATTGTAATTGAAAACAATTTAAATTAAACACAACGTAATTCCTTAACTAATTATCTAAAAATTTAATGAACAAAAATACACTTTTCTACAAATAAAACGAATTTGTTGCTGAAATTTCAGCAACTCAAAGCATTAAAAACTTTTAACATTTTAGTATCACCAGTAAGCAATTTATGTTTAAAAATAAAATTAGAAAGAATATGTGTAGTTATTCGTACCTTATCAATACGTTTTACAGAAGTTAACCATCAGTCACAACATTTTACATGTTTTAAGTCCTGTAAGAATTCAGGAATTCAACAGGTTACGAAATACCCTAAATAATTTAAGAGAGATGCTTAGCGACTGTTCACACAAAGTGCATTCTGTACGGGGTGGCAACGCCAAATAACATTGTGTATTACGTCATTACTTCACGTTTCGCACGAACCTACTCGTACTTGCGTTTCCCCGCTCACCAATGCGTCGACTAAGGGCCATTTTTAGGCAGTCCCTGCTGTTTATCAAAACCCCGATCACTTGACAACCCTGGTGGGAGGGGGCGCTCCCCTCATTGAATTAATGTGCTAAACTGTAATTAAACTACGTAGCAGCTTTGGATCTTTGCGCGTGTGTGCGTCGTCGTCGTTGCCAATCCGTCGTGCGAACGAACGGCTCGGTTATTCGCGTTTTGGGGGCAGCTGCAGTTGCGCCCCCCGTATGTGCGTGTGTGTTAGGTGGGCGCGGAAAAGAGGCAGTGCAGAGGCAGGCCAGAGGTCAAAAGTGCAAACGCAGAGCTGCTCGCGGAGTGCATCGCCTGGGTGGCAAGGTCAAATGCGACGGAGCCAATCGATAGCCGCATCCGTGGCTTGTTTTGGGTGCCCGATAGGCAGCGGAGAGGCAGGTGGGGGCTGGCATCTCGCCTCCTATATACATACCTATACATAAGTACATACATTTCACAAGCTGATAAGCAGCGCGAGCGAGAGAGAGCGCGCGTCAGCTGTTCAATGTTTTGGCTGTGTGCGGCGCACAGGTTTTGCCTGGGTCGCAGCTTCGTTCTTCGATCAGTTCCGTTTGCGGACTGGAACCGCTCGCTCTGCTCTCCTCCGCCCACTCCACCGCCCACCGCCGGTCCCAACCGCGTGTACTAATCGGAACTAGGCGCTACAAGCGGCCACTGACGTCTCGCTCTGACGTCCGTACCCCCACCACCCCCAGTGTACGCCTGTGTGTGTGTGTGCGATTATTGTTATTATTGTGCTTTGTGACGCATATAACGGCAAAAAAGCGGGGCGTGTTTTGCCATTAGAGAGCTTCCCTCGGGAAAAAGCGCCAATCGGACAGGTGTCGCGAATGAAAAGCTCAAGCTGTCGGTCGTCGTAGTAAACAAATCGGAGATTCATAATCTCTGTCCAAGAAGCGCGTCAATTAGCAAAATTAATCAAGATATCCCGAATCCGCGGAGTATTATTAAACGTGCTAAACACTAAACATCCGCTTACATCTCATTTGACCCGCGAATTCGTTTACAGAGCGATGGAAAATCCCCAACCACACGGAAAAAGGGCCAGCGCCAGCATTTAATTGCCATTGCTACGCCAGAGAGACATTAAAAAACCATTAAATGTGCCCAGTCACCATCAATAAAATTGTTTCGAGCTCAAGAGTGAAGTATTTGCATAGACAAACCCCCGGCAGCCGGTGAAAATGATGCTGAATAAATACGAGGGTTACCAACGCACAAGCCAAATGTTTCCCCATCAGCAGCAGCAGCAGCATCAGTTGCCCCAGCTGCAACAGCTGCCCCAGCAGCAGCAGCAGCTGCCCCAGAACTTCCCGCACCTGCAGTACGGATCCTCCGCCGATGCAACGGCCGATCTTCTCAAGGCGGAGCGGGAGTCCATACACTCCGGCCAGTTCATGGTCTCGCACTTCGAAGCCGAGGAGGCGCAGGACGACCTCGAGGACGACGGCGAGGTGAAGATGCTGGATCCCGAGGACCCCGAGCTGGGCAAGCCGGGCGAACCGACCAACACGTGCCGCGACGTCCAGCTGTACGTGCCCCAGACGGTGGCCCACTTCAGCGCCATGGACCAGGAGGGCGACGAGAGCAGCATGAGCATGGTGACCTCTCATTTGGAGATCGAGACCTCGCTCACCAAGCTCTTCAAGTGCATGAACCTGGCCTACAGGTGAGTTGCAAACGGCCGAAAAATAACGAGCGCCAAAAACCGAAAAACCTATGAAATATAGTTTCCCGCTTGTTCACGCGCTTCGAGCGTGATAACGCCGAAACTGGCCAACGAAAATCCAGCAACAGCAACCCAAAAAGCTTGGACCGCTTCGGTCGCATAATCGCGGCACATGTTGCGACGCGACGTCGCTGCTCGGGTTACTTTGGACCCAACTTTGCCTCAATCGCTTGTCCACCTCTTCCACCCTGTAAGCCCCCCCTCCCCTGCCCCGTTTTGGGTCGTACTTCTCCCATTTCTGCAAACGCCAGCGCAATCATCGCGAAGAAATATCAAAATATTGCTATGGCGATATCAGAACGATTCCAAACCACACATTTCGTATACGAAATGACCGGTTATGAAGCGCGAATTGCATGGCGATTACAAAATATTATTCCCTGGAGAATGTAGGTTTTTTCGGAGGGCCAAAATAATATTTAAGTTTTATAATATTCGGTTGTAAGACATTTGGAAACTATCATTATTAAAAAATAAACACTATAATATAGAACTAGGACGTACGTGCGATCTTACCGAATGTATAAAGTAATTGTTATTGAACTGTAAGATAAGGCTATACCTTATTTGGTTAATTTGGACCATTAGTCATTTATAAACATCATACGACACGTTCGCCTGTTTAATCTATATTTACCCATATATTGGCAATATCTACCAATTCCGACTTCTTCTCTTGCTCTATTCTCCTGGGGTTTAACGAATTGTGGTATTTATAGTCTTATCAGCAATAGTAATTTTTATTGGACTTTCATTCAGGTCTGTTTACTTTTATTTTGCTTATTGTTGTGTAGCTAAACAAATTGCGCTGTGGGGTTAATTCGTCTTAAATAGAGTCCGAAAGCTGCCATGGGTAAAAGAATACAACGACATTAAATAATTAAACGACAACAGTCGATCTAATTGAATGCCATGAGTTAGTTTATTGTTAAAGTTGTCTAGATTACACTCCCAAAACTTAATTTAGTTAGTTTCATAAACTTTTTATTCTATTTCTATCTGTATTCTATTTCCTGTTACATGTTCCTGTTCCTGGTAACGTAATTTGGTATAAAAAATGTTAAATTCTGGTAAATTCGAATTTATTATCTCTTGTAATAGGAACGGTCTGCAAAAGGTTATTAATAAATTTACCCTATCTCGTTCACTGCCTTAAAATCTATTAATCAGGGCTTTCTTTTTAAGAAAAAAAAATGAACCCTAAGGTGTTGCTGAAAATTAGAGGCTTTTAACCGGCAGTACCCCATATGTTAGTTAGTTAGTTTATGTCCAACTGAACACATTTTTGTATTATACCGGACACATAGAAAGTAGTTTAAAGTCTTATTCTGGCATTGGAGTTACCACCCCTCTCATAAATACTAAACAAATATCCGAAGAGTGTGTTAACTAATTCGAATCCAGGAACTTAATCAAAGCCAAACAGCTACGTCACTAGATAAAGCGGTATCTAAGTTCTTCTATGGGGAGCCACCCCCACATGGGAATGCTGTTTAACTGCTTTCGAGTGCTCGGTTGTGCAATTCCGAGCTCATATGAAGGGGTCTGTTCGAGAGTAGCAACAAATGGCATGTGTTTACCTGATGTTTGCCTAATAATTTTTACTGAATCATCAGCTGAGATAGTAAAAGCAATAATAACAATAAATCAATAGTGACAACATATTGAAACTTGCTAGTTTGCTGGTGGTTTATTGCTAACAATCACTCTAATGTGAATTCATGAGTTGTTTTTAGTAAATTCTTATCCCTTACTCAATTAAGTGCAATTTTTTACACAAATAAAATCTGGGACCCAAGTTAATTTTTTCAATTTACATTGGAATTATCAGCATTAATTCATGATCAAAAGCGGAAAGCGTCCTTGAGAATTTTTCGGACCTTAACAGAATAAGAACAGAGAAAAATTACAATCCGTGCCATTTGTAAGGAAGTGAAAACTGCCCGTAAAATATCATAACAAGTTTTGTCTATTAAAGTGTTTCCTGTAAAGGAATATTTAAATGCACAGATGTGCAAATATATATAGGCAGATTTTACAGAGATTGCAGCTTAGTACGGGTTAGGGGTCTATCTATTTTTAGATCTTAATCTGCGCACTGCTTTAATATTTATAAACAAATTGATTTGTTTGTCATAGATTGATTATATTGACAGGGGATATTGATTATATTGATACGGAGAGGATAATATGGATAGTGAAGAGAGTTTAAGTGGCATGTATGTAAGCATTTATTAAAATAATAATCCTTTCCTAGGCTTAAGTTTTTCCAATAAAATATTCCTATTATAATTGGTTACAACTTGCTTTCGTATTTTCAGTCAAAAACTCACCTCGCCCAAATGGAATCATTTCAAAGGTGTACGACTACGTTGGAAGGACAAAATACGTCTCAACAATGTCATATGGCGCTGCTGGCACATGCAATGTAAGTTTAATAACTACACACAAAAAAATTTGATTGGTAAAATTGACCAACAAAGATAGTTACGTAACTATTAAAATTGTTACGTGTATTTTGTTTTTGCTTTGGGTTTGTGTCTTTGCTAATTGTGTGTATTTTGTTGTTGTGAAATGACTATTAACTTAGTAGAATTGACAATTTTGCTGGTTGGGGCCTGTTTGACAATTATTACAGTTGATTTTACCAAGTTTTTTTTTTGTGTGTAAAGGTGTAATCTTAAATTAATATAAAAGATTCCTTAAAAAACGGTCAGTAGCAAGAATCCCCCAGAACAGATGACATAAAAAATCTACAAAAATTATTCAATTAAAGAGATTTTTCCCAATATCTAATCAACATGTACTAGTAACTGTTTCTACCGTGTACAAAAATTAGATAAGCCCTCGTATTGTTTGCTTAGGCCTCTCGAGATTGCACTTTGTAGAAGTTTTCCATCTGTTAGTGCCATTGGGTCGCTTGGACTGATTGACCGCCATTGGCATTGGTAAAATATTCCAAACAAATTATAAACCAATTTGATGTTTATTTCCTTGAAAAGCGCTACACGTGCGAAAGCGTCTGATCAACAAAAGAAATACCGAGTGAATCACAGAGAGCGAGAGCTTTAAGCACATTCGTACTGAGGTAAGCGAGATTCACGCTTTTGGAGCATCAGCGGAACTACTTTCGGCTGTTCGGAGCTGTCAACTGGTTTGGGGCAGATCCCAGAGAAGATCCCCTGATCCAGATCTGGCTGGAGGAGCGGGAGACTGGATGAACTGGCGTTGCCAGGCGGGCATCGTCGACTCTTTCGCCGCCTTCGGTCGCACTCCGGTCTCTTATCTTGGTCTGGTCGGCTGTGCCGCTGGCCCTTATCAGAGTCTGGACCCTCAGCGATTGTCATTTCATTTGGATTTCGTTGGATTTTGTTTTTGGCCTTGCCGCCGTCGCCCAATTAAAAGCTGAACATATGATTCCGGTGCCGGTGACTGACTGGCTTCCTTAGTCGCTGCTAAAACATTTTGGTGACCACCCGCTCTCGTCTAGACGGGCTCGGAGTTTTCCCGCTCAGGAGTGTGGCGCATTCTCAAGTGTCCCATTGATTAGCACCTCGTCATAGGCAGAGGCGAATAACAATAAAGCATAGGCTTGTTCTTTCGATTTTGAATTCTGCTTGTCGGCTTGTCGGCTGATCGTCTGCCACCGTTGCTGCTGATAATTATTTTTTTGTTCAAAATTTTCCGTTACATCATTTGTGTGTGAGTGGGAGGACGGCAGCGCAGCGTTACAAGCCATTTTCTCTGCGCTCTTCTAGATGTCGACGACAACGGATCGGCGACAAAGGCAAATGGAAAATTTTATGTTTATTTATAAACAACAACATCAACCATATCATACTTTTAATTTAGTACTTCTTAATCTTTGCAATTATCTATGTAAAAGCACATAATTATACCGTGCGGTTAATAGCTCTCAAGTAATCTTGAGGTCCTTGACCGCTTAATATAGACTCTGCAGATTTAAAGCGATCGAATTTTTGACCTTAAATCTTTATTCTTTTATTCTGCGCATTTACGTTTTTTATGTTTATCGTGACCAGGTATTTAAAATAACTTAACACGACTCTACTAAATATCGATTTACTTGCTAGATTAATCTTTCGCCTTGTTTTGGTTGTTTTCGTATCTCTCAAATCGTAGTGCCAAGCCAAATCCAGGTCCAACACTTTTGGAAATTCCCAGGCAGACAACGTTTTTATCAATTTATAACTGTCTGTGGAAAAATTCTACCGTTTATAGGGGTCTTTCTAAAAATAAACCATCCTATATAATCAAAATACATTTCTGCAAAAATGACTAAACCAAAAAATTACCTGTAGTTGCAAATTCATAAAGAACTTAAAAAATTGAAAAAAAAATGTATTTAAATCGATATTATATGGAATAACCATAGAGATTATAACAGCCTTAAAACCATAATAATAATTTTACAGGTGTTAATACTGAAATCAGTAACACAGGTCGACTCTTTTTTTATTTTGCATCTTTGAAGAAAAGAACAATTTAAGCACATTTTTGGCCTTAGGGCACCTCAAGCTTACTCACTGTACGGTATTTTTCGTTTGTGTAGGATTTAGTTAAGATTTAAGATCTGTTTGCTTTGTTGTACAATTGTTAGCAACGTCACAGCTCCCCCCAGATAAGTGAAAAAGAGCCTGTGGCAATATCACACGTGTTGCTAGCAACTCTTGTCATCTCTGGGGAACTCGCTATCTCTATCTATCTCTCCCTAGAATCTTATCACTTTGTTTTTTTTTTAATGTTTTCCATACTAAACAGTGTTTGTGTGTTTTCCATTTTTGCAGTCATACAAAAGCGCAGAACCCCGGTGTGTCAATTCGCGTCGCCGCTGGACGTTGACATACATAGTAATCCTCAAGTAAGTACCCGTTAAAATAAGCACTGTCAATGGAAATGTGAACGTCCTGTAAGAAAATTAACCTGTTGAATAATATTTGACACTTCCGATAAAAGACAAAAAAAACTGCAAAAAAATATAGAGTGCGAAAATTTATTGAAGTAAAAAGTGGTTTTACTCGAAATAAAAGAGAAGATAAAAATATAATAATAACACTGTGCAGCATTAGTGCTTTTTAAATTTACCACGATGGATGCTATATTTTTGGATTCGTTACGAATTCCCAAGTTAAACTGCGTTTTCCAAAGAGTTCCCCGACGCAAGGATTCTTAGCAAAAGGACCTCAAAGTTCGAAAAATGCTGAAATTGGCCAACTTTGCGGAGCTCTCAGAGGCAAATGGATGCATGGTTTGATTCGATGTTAAAGTTTTTTAAAAGATACACCCTTTATCTTTTAAAAAAATTTAATTAAAAATTTTTTAAGATTTTTTTTAAGGCAGAAACAAATTCTAGAAAACATAGTCAAAAAACATAAAAGTATACAGCTGCGGTCAAGATGGTAGTAGTGTTGCCGCCCTGTGTATTTAAAAGTTTGTTGTTGTAATTGATCTTTTCCTGGTAATATTGTATTGATTATAATTTTACTATTAGAATAATTGGATAAGAAAAAATTACAACATCAAACTTTTAAAAACACAGGGCGGCAACACTTTTACCATCGTGACCGCAGCTGTATACTTTTATGTTTTTTGACTATGTTTTCTAGAATTTGTTTCTGCCTTAAAAAAAAATCTTAAAATTATTTTATGTATGGGGTTTGAAAGATAAAGGGTGTATCTTTTAAAAAACTTTAACTTCGAACCAAGCCATGCATCCATTTGCCTCTGAGAGCTCCGCAAATTTGGTCAATTTCAGCATTTTTCGAATTTTGAGGTCCTTTTGCTAAGAATCCTTGCGTCGGGGAACTTTTTGGAAAACGCAGTTTAACTTGGGAATTCGTAACGAATCCAAAAATATAGCATTCATCGAGGTTAATTTTTGATGCTGCATAGTGTAATCCTAATCAGGAGTGTAACAGAAATTTCTCCTTAAAAGCAAATCCTGGTCTCACAGAAACCATTCCGAAATCAACCATACGATTTAAAACCATCTGAATAGAAGCTATGCTACAAATATTTTAAATTGGCCTGTCATTAAAAAGTGATGAGCAATTAATGAAATTGCCTGTAGACAGCGTATATATGTCACCTCGGAAACAGTCACTTTGCCTCTTGCTTTTCTCCATCTCCCTCGCACACTCCTTAGCTGGGAATAGGTATCTGACAGTCGAATCACTTAACTATAGTGTTCTCCCTTTTTTTAAAGATTTAATCATAGATTATTCAGCCTTAGTCATAGGTGAAATATTTTGACCACTCGAAATACCATCGATCAGTCCACGATCGTACCATCCATCCACGCGCATCATAAACGTGGAATTACCTGCAAAAAGTGGCGCACGCCGAGAATGGTGGGTTGAGATATCCTCATTTAGCTCTATCGCCAAAACACTTCAGTGCCCCAACTGACGTAGCTGTAGGTCCCCCTGATGAAAAGGAAGGCATCACTCGATTGCGGCGTGATCGTCGCGCGATTGTCGTGCGCCTTTGAAGAGCAGGGTGAGATACGGCTTGGACCCCTGGGATTGCCGTGGTCCTACCATCTTCTTTCCGCCGGACCCTCCGGCCGCACGTGATAAGAGTTGTGGGGCTTTTGCAGTGTTATTTTTAGCAGTCATTAACCTATTGGCGCGGCACTTTTATTTATAGACTGAGATTCAATTTAAGTACCATAATTTATAATCTGAGGGATACTTATCGTTTGGTTACTTTCGCTGGATTTTATATTGTTTTAATACTTGGTACTTGTAGATTACTATGTAGTTTTAGATTAGTTGTAATGCTTGATATATTATAAAAAATATCAGTTACTACATTACGATTGCAAATAGTTACATACGTATATGTTTATTACGGTGGGTCTATTTGGAGCTCTTAAATCGCAGGGGGTATTTTTATCTTTAAAGACCTCTAATCAATATTGGCAAGCAAACTTATGGTTATTGAGTTTTGTTTTTTTTTGTGAAAAATACCGTAGTTGTTATGAAGATTGAAAATCCTATTTTTCTTTTATCTTTGTCAAAATAGTATTTAATTATAAGAACTTTATTTATTTCATTTATTTAAAGCTGCATGGTCTTATTTGTTTAGCTGTATATTATGGATTAGTTTAGGAAAAGTTGTAAGAAAGTTGATTTACCCAACTTACAGAGCTCTCCCCTTTTAATAATTCGAGTCACAACATTTTCCTTCATAGTAATCTTCACTTACGTATTTAGTAGCACCAGCATTTCGACAAACTTTTATAAACTTCTTACATATGACCGGTTGTATGGCAAAACAAAAAAATTGTCAAAAGTTAACAAACTTATTTGTAGAGTACAAACTTCTGTAAGTGCACTTTGTAAGCAACAAGTTTGCAACACATGTTCAAAAAACGATTTTATTTAACAGACTATCCGGATGGTACAAATATTGTATTAGTGTACAGCGTTACATAAACTTAAAAGCGCCTCCTTTTGACAGTGAGCAAAGTATACATCACTCTCAGAGAATATTACCTCTCGCGTTATCTCGGCGGAATGTAGATTACGATTAATCATAATTAAGTTAGGACATACAGTATATATTTGCTTTTGATTAGGAAATAAACAAGCTTTTGTTGTATAAACGCTCTCATCTTGCTGTATCTTTCTCTTGTACCCCACACAGACTGTTGTTCTTGAAGGCAAGTACTGGAAACGTCACTCAGCTGTGATCAAAGCTGAATATAGAAAATGGCGCAGGAACTATAGATCGAAGGCTACAGGCTGTTTAACATACGATTCGGTAAGTCATCAAAACTTGTTAATAGTCTTTGTAGAATTCTCCATTTCCTTGAACTGGACCAAAATAACCATGTAGGTAAAGATGGCTGTAAATAGCTATGTTAAATTGATACAAATTAATAAATGTTTGGGTTCTTTGGATGCAAAGGGCTTTACCTTAAACAAGGTGCTTTTATCCAGGGCGAAAAATCCATAGGCTGTTAGAATTGGTTGCTGTCGCAGGTTCTTCAGTAAGAACTTTTCAATCTACAAAAATAATATTATTCGATGAGAACTACATTTATTTAACACTTCATTTTTATACCCTTGTAGAGGGGAAATATTTTGGAAAATAATTTTAGCTTCGGTGGTCCTCGTAAGAATTACAAACTATATTTAAAAAAAATCGGACGATATACGAGTCATGGGAATCTTAAAATCAATGTCAAAATAATACGAAAACCTCATATATTTAATTTAATAATTATAATACATTTATAAATTGTTAACTTTGATTTTAATATGATATTTTTTTAAAACGTAAAATATTTTAAGTTAATATCAATATATTAAATATTTTCTAAAATGATTTAAAGCTCTTAGACTAGTTCCAAATTTTACAGAAAATTTATTTAAATAAATATTTCAAAAACAGTTTATAATTACGTATATTTGAATGTACTCACCATTCTATCCAAACCAGTTCCGGTTCTAGGCACTTTGGCCAATATTTTTGCCGTTTTGTTCGCCTGCAAAGAAGAGCATTGTTGGGTGGTATCAATATTTTTACAATTACATATGCGGGTGCATGTCATAACCTATATTCCCACAACGAACTCACTTCCACCGTAATGCCATTGGTGCGCAGCATGAGAACCAGCATAATCATCCAGGGACTGTCCCAAGTGGAGGAGGTTAAAAGCATAGACAAGCACTCGTTCTCACTAAATTTGCCCTCTAAAACAGTGCTGATTAAGTAAAAGGGTCCCGAAGGCGCCATCAGCAGTACCAGGCCCACAATGGGCAGCATGAGCAGGCCAAAGCATTCGTTTAGCTCATTTCCGCACACCTTGAGGATCTGTTGCCTGCCTCTAAGGCCAGGATCCAGATCGCCCTGGCACAGCTGCCGATTGTAGTGGACCAAACCGGCGGCCATGATTTGCTTGAGGCACACAAAAAACACTAAAAGCAGGCAGAGCACCGAATAGGCGTAGGTATAGACCACCATGCATAAAGCAAGCGGAAGCGGTGCGAGTCCAGCGCGACTGTAGCCGTGAAAGTAGTTGCCAAAGCAGACCACCGTAAGCACTCCATACAGAATTAGGTTGTACAGAAACTGTCGATCGGTGGAACTGCCCACGCATCGCCTATTAAGGCGCAAGAGCTCTTCAACCAGATCCCTGTACCTCCTTCGCTGTACATACAGGATCAAGTAGATCAGGAAAAGCACCAGGCACGTGCTACGAAAGATGATGGTCTCATAAAAGTTTCCCGTCCGGTTGTAAATGGCTATGTGGAATCGATCCGGCTGCAGGTGGGCAAAGGTAAAGCAGCCAGTGCTGGCCACAAACATCAATCCAGCATAGGCCACAGCATAGCGTTCACTTGTGGGCGTGGCTACCAGACGACAGTGCTCCGAATCAAAGTGCCAGCACATCAAACCCAAAAGGCGCAACAGGCGGAGGTACAGCCGTAGGTCCCGGCAGACGTTTGACATTCTGCAGTCGAGGGGTCGCCGCGAACTAACCAATCCGCCGGATGGGTATTCAATTTCATTGTTGATTTAACCGATAGCAAAAAGTCAATAGTTTCACCGGTAATTGATTAGTTCTGATGTGAAGCATAGGAACTTATTAAATTAGGCCCCACACCTATTTGTGCCCCCTACTGTAATACAGTGACAATATTTATAAGTATTATTGGGCATCTGATGTAAATGCCAAAAGCTTTAACCAATCATATGGAGAAACTATCTTTACTTTAACTTAATTTATAATTTTTGCTCGCTAGAATAAGACATAAGATAAGCCTTTTTAAGTATTTCTTTTGATGTTGTATGTTTAAAATCGAAGTTTCTTAGTTTTTGAGGTGGAGTAGGGTCATTTATTAATAATAAATTATTAGATTGCTTTACCGGTTAATATGTCTACAAACACTGCCAAAATGTACAATTTATCGGAGCTATACTTTAAGGGATATAGCTTTGCAAGATGCGTACTTCCGTTCATTTACTTCAGTGTCGCATATTTTATTTTTGACTTTTGACTTGACTATTTTGACTTTTTGAAAGTCCGTGTTCACCGGCATTTCTAAACGCCTTAAACATAAGCATGAAGATCATCTAAATACCTGTGAAGCTCATGTTTGTTTTAACCGAAAGCCTCTTCCACTCTAACGCACAAAGATAGCAAAAGTGGTAGCACTGGCCTCCGCCAGGTGACGCTCGCGTCCTTAGCACTTCTAAACTTTTATTTTGAAATTGGTAAACAGGGTAACGGGTACAAGTATCTTTATTGGTACTGTGCACTTAAAAAAAATTTACGAGGATGGCCGGACTAAGAATGGATTAGTTTTAAAACAATTTCAAAGTAACAAAAAGGTTCAAAAAATTAAAAAAAAATTACTGCAACCTACCATTAACGAAATAAACTATCCTACCAAAAAGTTACTCACCTCATTTTGTACATCGATGACGCCCATTGCCAGAACCAACAAAGCTACCCAGGGCAGGCTCCAAAATGCTGCCGTTAACGACATAAAAACGAACCGCCAGTTTTGCCGAAAACGGCCTTCAAAAATTGTGGATATTAGGTAAAAGGGTCCGGAGGGTGTTAATAACAGAATTAATCCGGTTAGGGGAACTAGTAACAATCCGAAACAAGAATTGATCTCCACATGGCTAAGCCACATCACCTCGGCGTAATTGCGAAAATGTAGATTAAATCCCTGGCATTCCTTGCGCGACTTAAAGTGTTCGAGAAGTTTTTGATTGTAATGCTTTAGAATCGAGAATAGGATTCGTTGAAGACAGACGAACAGGACAACGACTTGGCCCAGAATGAGATAGGAAAGGCCGTACTGAATAAGATAAATGGGAATTGTTGTCAGGCGAACGCCTGCCGCCCAGTAACCGTGGCCGTAGTTCAGCATGCAAATCACAAAGAGAGATAGGTGTAGAATATAGGGAAATCCAAACGCGACGGCTCCTGTGCGACTCCCAGATATTCGATTGAGTTGCAACATCGACTGCAGCAGGTTGGCGAAGCGACAACGTTGCACATAGAGCTGAATATAAGCCAGCATTGTGACCATCGAACAGCACCTTATGTTGATTAGGGCATAACAGTTGCCCGTGCTGTTATGTTTTCCCATGATAAAGTGACTGGGAAAGTAGGAACTGTAGATGATCAAGCTGCAGCATATGCACAACACGCTTATCATATACCACCAGGCACTTCGTTCTTCTGAAGCATTTTCTTGAACTAAGCACTTCTCAAAGTCGATGTTGAAGCGCAAAACTCCCAACCATTTTAAGGTTCGGAGCTGTACCCTCAACTCTTCAAACGCGTTGCGCGACATTTGGTATGCGTCAATCAACTAATAACTATTTTTCTAAAGCAGATTAACTTTTGGAGCTATGACAGAAAATATGATATCTTTCTAATGAAGGCTCTTCAGGGACTTGTAAGTCAACAGTATAAAAGCACAATAGGTTTTATTTACCCATCTTGGTTAGGGTAAAAACCCTTAATGGATTAATTTGTTACATGTACTTTCACTGTCAGCGTGTTTACAATGGGTTAACTGTATGATGTCGATAGACTTATTTAATAGTATGGTATGTTTAATTAAAATGTACGCTTGTACATGGACTTAAATATTGATTTTATTATAGAATAGAAAAATTCCCTAAAATATGTAAATATATAGGAAATTCCGCCCCTACACGTTCATGTTTTCCATCCCCGTTCCTCGAAGAATACAAAAAATATATCGATTTTATATATAAAGACGCCTTAGCACCGTGATTAAACAAACTTGCTGCGGAGGAACCTCTAGAATCTGCATGCGAAATCCAAACTTTCTAGCTTTTGTAGTTTCTGAGATCTCAACGTTCAAACGAACGGACAATCAGACATACGGACATGTCCGTGTCGCTTCCCACGAATACCATTCATTCTACGACTAAGGGTGGAGAAAAAGTTAGAAGCAGTAGAAATTTCAGACGCTTGGTTGTTTAGCTTTTTGCATATCTCGATCCTTTACATCGGTAATAGGTATCTGATAGTCGACCCTCTTAATAATTTAAAAAAAAAATGGAGATTTTCCCCACTCATTAATAAAGAGATCTCTTCCCACCACATCAGTGTGCAGAGTCATTAGTATGGCCAACATAATGGGCAGATTCCACAGGAGCGTTGTGGCCAGCGCATGCCACAGGTAATGCCTTCCTGCACTGCGTGCATCGATCTCGAAGACAATCGTTATCAAAAAGAAAGGAGCACCTGGTGCTGAGAAGAGTAGGAACGCCATAATTAGCACTAGGACAAGACCAAAGTCAGAGCTCAATCGATGATTGCAAACCCAAAGCAGGCGACTTCGCTGCCGCAGACGAAGGCCACACAAACTGCCTGACAATAGCAGGTTCAGTTGGACTGCGTTAGACAAGTCTTGGTTGTAGCAAAGTAGCAGGCTGGCGAAGATCCGGACCAAGCAGTAATGAAAGGCTACAATTAGACCGAGAAGAATGTAACTGTAGGTGGAAAGCGCGGTTATCAGCACCGCTTGCCACGGTTCAAAGCCAGAGTGATTGAAAGCCTTGGCCTGAAGTAGGCAGGAAAGAAAAACCTGGCTAGCGTAGACAGCGTAGATTCTTCCGAACTCTGCGGCATGTCGATTCTCCAGATCTATGCGATTATGATGCAGCAGCAGGGATATCAGTGATGTCAATCTGCCACGTCGCACGTAGAAGTACAGATGGATGAGGCATACCGTCAAGCAGGCTAGCCCATAATTGCCCACAAAATATGTATTTCCCACTTGGCCGTAAATGTTCAGTTTGTAAATTTCAGGATAAATAATCACATGGCCCAGGGCTACAAGCGACAGGCACTGTGAGCAGATTAGGCCCATCAAAGAAATTATTTCATCTGTCCTAGTTGTGTGCGATTCATAGCCGTTGTCATAATCATTTGTAATGCAAAAGAGACCGAGGCACTTAAATGTTAGAAGATACACCCGCAACTCGCCACCGAGTGTCATGACGGAATACTACGAACTAACAACACGGAAGGACTAAGGGTGGCTCAGCTTATTCGGCCTCATAAGTAATCAATAAATATGAGATATAGATTGCAGATATCTGAGAAGCGAGATCTTACTAACGTTTATATTACTTAAGATGAATTTTAATTTGATATGTATCCAGGTAAATTTGAACTGGTCGAAAAGAGTATTTCATGTAAAAACGATATGGGTTTTGCATGATTTGAAATATACATGGACACATCGATTTTACGGGAACATGATTTTTTTTTGTATGTAGTACAAATGGCCGATCTAGGATTTAGCTGTGGGGGGTGATATCAGAACAATTTTTTGTTGCCTTCTTTATGAATACCAAAATTTCTTTAATTTTTCACCCGATTGGTTGCGATCTATTACCCATATCACCCCTCTTGGATAGCTTAACCCCACAAATACTAGATACATTTTCATTTCAAAGTTGCGTTATCCTCTTTACATACCTGAATGCCGACGCGGTTACTCATGAAGCTAGCAGCACAGGTCATCAAGGTTGGCGAAAGCCATACAATGTTTGTCACCAATTTCAAAACGATCGATTTGTTAGTCTGAATGACCATAGTTAGATATATAACGCCGGTTACATCCAACGAGGCGAACATCCACGACAGCCAGGCGATGAACCCGTAGACCAGGCTGATTTCACCATTGCAGAGCAGCACCAAGCGATCGTGTAGCTCCAGGCACCCGCGCAAACGAAGGAGGTTTGCACTACTCTTCTTTAGATCTCCCGATTGCTCGACAATTGCAGTGATCTGCGACTGATTCCAGCTGAGCACCTGGCGCAAAATGTGCACCATACTAAAGTACGTGCCCATTGTAAAGCTAGTTACCAGATATCGTAGGGGAAATCCCAGCGAGGTGATGACAAACAGGCGAGAGGCATCCGACAGCCATTCGAATATGCAGGTCTTGATGAAGTTGGCCATGTAGAGGACATTGGTGGCAATGATTACCCAAAGCAGGCGTTTCGGCAGAAGCAGCCGCACATTGGCCAGGTGTCTCCGGCGATAGAACTCTATTTGTCTGACGATTCGCAGGTGCGGAGCCTGCAGCCAAATGAGCCAGGAATTCTGGACGACCAGAATGCCCAGGGCAATCACCATTACTAGCCGATCGAAGTGGTTACCGGTCGTGGTCAGTTCGCTTTTGAAGCACCTTCGCCAATATGTCACCATGATGGCCATGCAGCCAACCAAATACGCTTGCAAGGCAAAGTGCACCACATAACAGATGAGACTGCGCCGCAGCAGAAACCTCTTTTTGGTGGGATTATAGTCGATGCAGAATATTCCCAAGTACCGACACAATCGATAGTAGGCACACAGTTCCCCCGGCTTGAAGTCGTCCATAGCGAATGAAGGTCTAGCCTTATAATGAACATGGAAACAGGGCTACTTTTATAAGCAACCCTCTATTAGCCAGATTTTCATTACTTACCATGTACGTAAAAACTTAAGAATCTATAGGGCTAGAGCTCTGTACGATACACTTAAATCTTCGCTACTTCTAGACAGATAATTATTATACAATAATTCGAGAGAACTCAGGACAATTCCTTGTTAATTACTTCAACTCAATTAATTCACTACCAAGTATTTTTAATATTAAACATAAAGAAACTTGGTAAAATTAACAAATATAATTTTCAAACAGTCCCCAACCACAAGACTTTTCAATTCTACCAATTAAATAGTTACTTTCACAATAACAAATACACACAATTAGCAAAGATAATACACGTAACTATTTTTTATAGCTACGTAACTATCCGAAAAGGTAAATGATACCAATAAAATTTTTGTGTGTGTATATAAATAAATCTAATAAATTGACAAATAGAGTATCACCAAGTCCGAACATCAGATTATATTACTTATTTTCATAAGAATGACGGTCAAGCGTTAATATCAACTCACCTGATTGAGAACGTCATTAACGATTAAAGGTAGGATGAGATAGAAAAGCATCGGTGTCAGCCAAATGAGGATGAGGACTAGGTCGCGGGCCGACTGGAACCCCTCGGAGTTGCTGACGTATACTATTAATACGCACTGCATGACCTGGTACATGAAGAGGAAGAGAAGGACTCCCCCGTAAACGGCAATGAGTTCCCTTTGACCAAGCAGCAGGATCTCGTCGTGGGCCCTCAAACAGCTGGCCAGATCCGCCATTGAGATGGAGTTGGTGGACACCAGGTGCTCCAGCTGCTCCACCTGGGCACGAAGTAGCCTTTGCAGACTTAACACCATGCCGGCATAGCAGGTGAACAGAAAGTTGGCCAAAATGCAACGTGCCACAAATCCCAGCAGGGTTACGATCTGGCTCAGCTGCATGTTTGTCAACCAATGGATGCTGAAATGGGCCACCATGGTCATGTACAGGAGGCACACCCCTAGCCAGATGCGGTACAACCAACGGGGTTTGGTCAATTCCAGTGTTTCGCATTGCAATCGCCTTTGCAACTGTGAAATACGCTTCAACAGGCTCTCCTGCGATCCTTGCTGCGAGCGAAACCATAAATTGGCTATCAGCTGACTAACCGAGCAGGTCACTATCACTGCGTTGTCATAAGTGTCGCCTGTCTGGGATTTGGTGTCCATGTAGGACAGGGATTGGGCCAGTGCTGCCACCAAAGATGACACAAAAACGCCAGTGACTAAAACTTGAGTTGATATGGAAATCCAGGTAGCATGAAGACCGTAATTTTGTTGCGATTCGGAGAAGTCCAAGTCCGACAGGCCCAAGTAGCGTTGATGATGCAGAAAGGACAGAAGCTTCAGATTCATTCTGCCCATACGTTCTATTTGTCATATTTCACTCAACTAACTGACTTACTAAAAAGGAAATCAGCAATACATTGGAACGTCGATATTTCAATTAGGTTAATTGCTAGGTTGATAATGATGATTGCGTTTATAATCTTCTGCGGGGGATCCTAGATAAATATACCCATTAGATGGTAACTTATTTTTTAAGTAGCATCTAAAATATAGCATCTTATAATATAGATAAATAAGACCGAAGTCTTTAAAATGTATTTTAACCAAACTCATTTAAAGTTATTTCACTCCTATATCTCGAGAATTACTTTAGATATCGAAATACATTTTTCTAGCTACTATTTTTCCTTTAAAAATCAGTTGATAACCTTTAAACAATTTTACACTTGCAGAAAAGCGAGTTGGACTTTTTGGAATGGTCGCCGTTAAACGATAGGAACTTAATGCCAGACGACTGGACAACGGACACCTTGTTTTCGGCAATTAATGTTCCCTTTCCATTTCCTGATTCCAGGGAAATTGGTAAGTAATATTTAAATTACTATTATTTTACGTTCTTACCTTATAACTAAAACTTTCTTTAATAATTAGCACGCGGCGCGGGCATTGCGGACTTCATACAGCCCAGTCTGGGGCCTTTGCAACCGAATTTAGATGATATCGACATTACCTTCTCAGGTCAGTAGAGTCTTTACCTTCTTAAAGGACCCCCAACAACATTTGTTCCTATTTCACAGACCTAATTCCCACCACTCGCTTGCCACCTGTTCCGGAAGAGGGAACCGATGCTGAGATGCTCAAGAACGACGAGTACTGTCTGTCGGCGATTGTCGGCGCACCGCATACGCTCTACTGCAATGACAGCATAATGGATGTGGTAAACAGCAGCAGCAACAGTGGCTCCGGAAATGTGGATGCAAGCATGCTGGAGCTCAATACACCCATTAACAACATGACGTACGGTGAGGTGGAGCAGCGATTCTCTGTGGCGCGACAAGTGCAGCAATCCGCCAATGATTCTCAGCTTCTCGGGGACTCGAGCTCAATGTCCAGTCGGCTGCATGGCGGTAAGCACTTTGGGGCCATCGTCAACGACAACCGGTGCGTGATTAACGGTCGCGTGGCCAAGAACACACAGCGTCCCTTCCGACGGGAGCCTCACAACTACGACAAGGCGCAGCCAACCATGCACCAGACCAATCTCTACCAGCAGATGCTGGCCGAGCAGCAAAAGAACCAGCAGCAGCAGCAACACGTTGTCGGTGGCGTAGTGCTGCAGTCTTCCTTTCAGACGCCGCAACAACAACAGCAACAGCAGCAGCAACTCACGCAACAGCAACATTTTCCCACACAGCAGACAAACGCCTTCAATAACCAGAGCTTCTTGAACAGCTACACGGACAACTACCAGCAGCAGCAACAGCAACAGCAGCAACTGAACGTTAAGGTGGAGCCATTGCATGCCGATGTGCTGTCCTTGCTGGGCGACAGTGGCTACAACTCCATTGGCTACAAGCCGTATCCGCAGTTCAAGAAGTCCGCTTCGACGGGAACTTTTCTTAATGTTCCCCGGCTGCCGCAGCAGCAGCAACAGAGTTATCTGCCACAGGAGCCACCGCAAATGCAACAGTCGCTGCCTTTGGGTCTGAGTACTCAGCAACTTTTGCAGCTTTCGCGACAGCAGCAGGCTTCTAACGTTCAACAACAGCAACAACAATCCACCGTGGCTAGTTTACTGCAGCAGCAACATCAGCAGCAGCAGCAGCAACATCAGCAAACCGCTGTCAGCACAGCCACTTGGGTGTCGCCGAATACAATTTTGCCAAAAGAAATCCATCGCTCCAACAGCTTGCCTCTGAATGTGTCCCTGAATAAGCTACCCGATGTCCGGCAGCACATCCATGAGCAGCAGCCCTTTGCAGTGCCCAAATATCATGCCAAGGGCAAGTCGCGGGTGCGCAGCAATTCGATGCACCAGCAGCACACTTCGGTGGTGTCTGCCGCCGGAGCGGGAAGCTCTTCGTTAAGCGCCCACAGCTGCAGCAATCTGTTGGTCACGCAGCAGCAAATGCAGCAGGCGACCAGCGATCCGATGCTTAATAGCACCCTGGCACAGTTGCTCACTTCGAGTTAGTTTCTTGATGTTCCAGAATAGAGTCCTGCATGAGTACACTTGAATTGACAAACAAGTCAATTTTTTGAAAATAGAGTGAGTGAGTTCAAGTGAGTTAACTTGGATCACTTGATTCACTTAATAATTCGGAAGGAAAAACAAGTGATACAAGCACAGAATAAAAGTGAGTGGGGGTAATAAAATTACTAAGCAAATTATTTAGGTGATTCTAAATTATTTTATATTAAATCACTTGTTTTTCCTTATGAAAAAATCAAATGAAAAAAAGTTTGTCAGTTCAAGTACACTCATGCAAGACTCTATTCCAGAAACCTTTTAAATAGTTGTGCTAAAAAATATTTCCCATTTCAGATTCACGTTTGCAAACAGCCGTGGCGAACAGTTCGCCCTCGAATTCATCTTCCGTCAGTGCCATTGCCACCGCTAGCAACAACAGCAACGTGTCGCCTGCTCTTTACGCCAATGTCACAACGCCGCTGTCGGTTCCGTTGGCAACGCAGCAACACTCACCAAAGAAGTCCGCCTCCTTGCCCATGGCCATCAATCCTGCATTGCACAGTCCCCCCGGCGGGAGCAAAATGCACAGCTTTGGGCCTTCGTCGGCAAACCTGGGCAGTAATAGCCTGAGTTTGTCGCCGGACTCGCCGTTCCACGACTCGCAGGATTCCCCCGTGTCGCCTACGGCCAGCTTGAAGTACCAGCCGAGGGACACCCAGCGACGGGCGGGCCACATCCATGCGGAGCAAAAGCGACGATACAACATCAAGAACGGGTTTGATACCCTGCACGCGCTCATCCCACAGCTTCAACAGAATCCCAACGCCAAGTTGAGCAAGGCGGCCATGCTGCAGAAGGGAGCGGATCACATAAAACAACTGCGACAGGAGCGCAATGTCCTGAAGGATAAGATTGAGGCTCTGCGAATGGAGCGGGACGAGCTAAACAATTCGCTGACGTAAACCAATCCAGAAGAATATTATTTTTTTCGAGTAATGAAAATATTATTACTTTTACAGGCATCTTCACTCCATTTTGCCCGCAAACGGAGCGCCTGTGACGAGGCAAGGTACGGAGCATGTTCGGCAGCTATACGAGATCTATGTGCGGTACAATACGATGAACGATTGGAAGTTTTGGATTGTAAGTACAGGAGGGTTTTAGTTTCTTGTTTTGAAGTGGGCCAGTTGACAATTTAACTTATCTGATATCCCAGGAACAGCTTAAATGCTCTCGAAATTCGTCTCAATTAAGGATCCTTTCTTGTTTATAATATTATGTGGTAGCAAAGGATTCATTAAAAAAGATTTTTTTTATGTAAATAGTTCTAAATCTAAAAAAAAGAAAACACTAATTTAAAATTTCATTGGAATTGTAAAGAAAACTTTATTTTTGTAAGTTCTTCCATTAAAACGCTGTATTATAGATTGCATCGACTATCACATACCCGTTACTTTGTAAAAAAAATGAAGACTCACATTTTGGATGATATTGTTTATAGTTGGATTTTATTTTCACTGTTAATACATATTAACATGCCAAAAAAGTTTCAGATAGGACCATTATTTAAAAAATTGTAGATAAATATTTAGGCATTTTTAATGAACTCCACGGAACGGTTAACAGTTAATACCAATCTTTTAATGGTTATGAATTTAAATTTATTTCCAGTTGGGTCTCATCCTGGAGCCCTTGCTTGCCTCCTACACGTCAACAGTCTCGAGTGCTAGTCTAGATGAACTACGACGGACCGCGTTCCTCTGGGTCGATCAGCACTGTTCCCTTATTGATCTGCGACCCGGTATGCAACTCTTCCTTTAATGTTGAACCATTATAATATTTGTTCACCTTTCAGCCGTTACGAATAAATTGAAGTACCTATCTATGCATACGGATATTGTGTCGGAGCCACCCAGCACATTGCAGGAGGAGGTAGCCAAGGCCCTCCAGAACTCAAGTGGCCAGCATCCCAATCTACATGGCCCCTAACCGTCGATGCTGTTGCCCGTGATATGAATTTATTTAATTCAATCTTTATTTTAACAAATAACTTCAACCAATTGTGCAGCACTAATTGTACAAAATGCAAATTAGGCAGATTTTTATACAAAAGATTGGCAGCCGGTAATAGATAGATACGCAGAGCAGCAATTAGTGCCTACAATCTTTGACTTAAGCGTAAAATAAACTAACGATTTTACAAGTTTTTGACTTAAATTGCGAATATTTTTTGGGTGTTTTTTTAATTGTTGTTAGGAATTTAAATGGTTTGTTTTACTTGTAGTTCCTGATATTTTAAAAATCTTTAAAAAAAAAATAAAATACGTTACTTCGACTAATATATTCCTTACACAGTTTATTTAAAAATAAAAAGCGACATTTGTTTATAGTTTTCAAATCACAAACTGATATCAATCGAAAAATAAATATAGACTCAGTTAAACTTTTAAGTAGTAAGGTATGTAAGTGCAATACTATTCTCAGTGCACAACCATATGTATAAGAGAGAAATTGTCACTTATACGTATTACTTGGTTTAAAAAATGCAGTTGTATGTGTCGGCGCAGATAGCGATGTGCAATCAATTGAGCTTGTGCATATACATAGCGACTCTGGGAAATCCGACTGCAGTTGTGCTCGGACGCTCTTCACGTAATCATGTTTATTATACTATTTTCGATTTTTGCGGCTGCTTCAGCTTTTGTAATGCTCGATTTACTATCCGTGGTCGTGAGTGGAGGAATTCTGCTTGTATTGATGATCGTTTGGCTGTGGCAACGCCATCATTTCGGGCACTGGCGACGGTTGGGCGTACCCTTTGTTCCGGCTACTCCATTTGTGGGAAATGTGTGGAATCTTTTGCGAGGCGCCTGCTGTTTTGGCGATCAGTTTCGCGAGTTGTACGAGAGCAAGGAAGCCGCCGGCAACGCCTTTGTCGGAATTCACGTGCTGCACAACCATGCTCTACTACTTCGAGATCCGGCACTGATTAAGCGTATTATGGTCGAGGACTTCTCCCAATTCTCGAGCCGCTTTGAGACCACAGACCCCATATGCGATACAATGGGGTCCCAGAACCTATTTTTTTCGAAATATGAAATGTGGAGGGAGACGCATAAAATCTTTGCACCCTTCTTTGCTGCAGGAAAAGTGCGTCAAATGTACGGTCTTCTTGAAAACATTGGTCAAAAGCTCGAGGAACATATGGAGGAGAAGCTAAAGGGAAGAGATTGTATGGAGCTGGAGGTCAAACAGCTATGTGCTCTATTCACTACAGACATTATTGCATCTTTGGCTTTCGGCATAGAGGCACATAGTCTGCAAAATCCAGAGGCCGAGTTTCGTCAAATGTGCCTTGAGGTCAATGACCCTAGGCCAAAACGACTCTTACATCTCTTTACAATGTTCTTTTTTCCGCGATTATCGCGCCGGGTTCGGACTCATCTTTATTCAGAGGAATATGAACGTTTTATGCGCAAGTCCATGGACTATATTCTTGCTCAACGCGAGGAAAGTGGAGAGAAGCGTCACGATTTGATTGACATTTTTTTGCAGTTAAAGCGTACCGAATCTGCGAAAAGTATAATCCACCGGCCGGATTTTTTTGTGGCCCAGGCTGCCTTTCTGCTTTTGGCCGGCTTTGATACGTCGTCATCCACCATAACTTTTGCTCTCTACGAGTTGGCCAAGAATCCTGCGATTCAGACGCGATTGCGGACGGAGATTCGCGATGCCCTGCATTCCAGCGACGGTCAAAACCTGAGCTGCGATATTGTCAGTGGATTGGAATACCTACGGCAGGTGGTAGACGAAGTTTTGAGACTATACCCGCCTACAGCATTCTTAGACCGTTGCTGCAATTCCCGAGAAGGCTATGATCTCTCATCGTGGAACTGTGGATCACCATTTAAATTGCCAGCAGGCACGCCTGTCTACATATCCGTACTGGGACTCCATCGAAATGCACAGGTTTTATCAACAATCTGTAATCTCGTTTTGCTCAATAATCTGTAAATGCATTGATTTCAGTACTGGCCAAACCCCGAGAACTTTGATCCAGATCGATTTTCTGCCGAGCAACGCCAACAGCATCACCCCATGACGTATTTGCCTTTTGGCGCAGGTCCAAGAGGGTGCATTGGGACGCTATTGGGTCTGTTGGAGATAAAAGTTGGACTGCTGCACATTCTGAAAAACTTCCGGGTGGAGCTCTGCGAGAAGACTCTGTCAAAAATGAGATTCGACCCCAAAGCCTTTGTTCTTGCTGCCAATAAAGGCACCTACCTTAATTTTGTTAGTAATCCTCTTTGAATTAAGTACTATTCATTTCTTAACTGTAGTAACGTTGTTTATTGGTAATTGAATTTTTCACACATTTTTTTCTGTTTTGTATTTTAAACTTTGTTATCTTCAGCACAAAAATTTTCACAAAAAAGTTGTCTGTTGAGTTGGTCAAATGTTGTTGGTATCAAATCTAAAGGGATTTAAAGATGTTATGCATTTTTAGCCAGCTATGAACGGTCAACTGCTCAGTAATAAAAAATACGCATTTTTTGCTTAAATATCCAACAACTTTTGACCAACTTAAAATACACGACAATTATCAACCATGGATCTTGTTTTTATTTTTGTTGTTTGCATGTACAATTTATAAAACTAATATGGAGCTTTTCGAGTTCTCCTCTTTTTACAAATTATCGAAAAATAACTAAAGCAATTTTACACAGACATTATTAACATAAACTAGAGCTAAAAATTAATTTCACGTTTTGATTTGAAGTGTTGGTTATTCAAAATGATAAACTGAAAAATATTTTTTTACATGAAAACGCTGAAACAATTATAGTTTGTATTTTCAAAATTTGCGTTTTCCGTTTTCGGAAATTTAAAATAATACCTACGAGCTAAGAATACCAGTTAGCAATGTACAACGATGAATGACGTTAATAAAGTAAAGTTCTTTGTGAATAGCAATAAAAGTATGTGTATATTGTCAAAAGCAAAATGCAAATTACAGGCTGAATTGTAAATGTAAAACTATTTCAGCTGATTAAATTATTTAGTTTTTGATTGATGTGCTATATTTCGATAACTATTACAATACGGGCTTATAATTTTGAAGCTTTGCAATTACTATGGCGTATAACATCATGTGTTTCGAACCCTTTGTAATTTAGATTATGTAGAAAATTTGCATTTTGTTTCGATTACTTTTTCTGAATATATATTTTAATGCCTGAGGCTGGACATATTGATGGAAGCAAAATTCAAAATCATTATTTGAAAATTAGAATTAAAATTTTTCTCATCTATATTATTTTGCTGTGATTTATTTTTCATGCATATGTATATAAAGTGCAGTTCTACGAAGTTCATTTTTGGTTTTCCTAATTATTAGCGGTTGTTTACCTGATCCACAACACTTGCCAAAACACCTTGACATGTTACTAAAGAACAAGTTGACAGCAATATTGTCCGACTGTTACTTTTGAACATATCTATGAAATACATGCATATTTGTTTATGATCATATATACGTATAGCTAGTTAATTACATCCATAGTAGTGTAGTTTCGACATGACATACATTTATATACTCATATATAGCGTATTTTTATTCTCACTTTAGTTTGCAAGTAAACATGTTTGCATTGCCTAAACTATTTCGATTAGTTCGATACTCTTTCTGTTTTTTTACTCGATCAGTAAGTCTTCTAATTCATTTTAAAAAACAGTTGTGAGTCCCGTACACTACTATCTCCTATCCTGCATGACAACCTGTTTTAGGGCACCCGCTCGAACGCTTGACTTAACCTCGTGTCCGCCCAGGGAGGCGGTTCCGTCGCGAGCGATGTACAACTGAAGACCAGAGGCTAAAGAAGAGAAAGTGGTTAGCGGATACACATTATGCATTTGCCTTAAACAACTCACTTTCTGCGGATTCTTCCAGCTGATCCAACTTTGTGTCCTTCAAAATCTCATCAATTAACGAGTCTGGATTGACCCGTGTCTCCTCCACTCGGTCGGACACACGTGGGCCGTCATCGAGCGCACCTTTTTTGCGCTTCTCACCGCTGCTTTTCGTCCGATCTAGAGATCCTGTTTCACTTATAACTAACGAACCGGAACTGGGATTCCTGAAGGAAAGATATAAGCAAATTAAAATTCGTTGTTATCAATCTTTAAACACATTTAGTTATCTAATTACTAAACAATTTGTATGTGATTTATAAGTGCAATATGAGTAAAACAATTGCAAGAGAAACCAGACAACGGAAACGCAGGCAATAACGAGGCAGAACAATACAAAGTTGAGGCATTTCGCCTCCATAACATTCCAACAAAACACTGAGCTTTTTAATTTATGAAATGAGTAAGGTGATTACGGTTTGTGCAAAGTTTAAAAATAAATTAAATTGCTAAGAAAACGGCATTATTAATTTTATAAGTATCCAAAAGATTTTAATTTTTTTTAATTAAATTGAACAAATTTGTTATCATTAAAAATTATTACTTTTTACAATTTAATAAACAAAATTAAACAATTATATAAATTATAAGATATTTAAAAATAAATTTATAAATTAAAAACGTTACGTTATAGTCGAGTGCCTCGACTATAAGATACCCGTTACTCAAATAAGGGCGATTGTGGGCGTGGCAATCTTGTGCGTAAAAATCTCTAGAATTTTCTCGGAATATCATAACATTTAAGCTTTCGTAGTTTTCGAAATCTCAGCGTTCATACGGACAGACAGACAGACATGGTTAGATGGCCTCCACGAGAATAAATACTTTTAAGGCGACGAATACAATACGCTAACTCTACGAGTAACGGGTATAATAATTACGCAATGAACATAAAAAACTTATAGCTAAGACAGACTGGCAGTAGAAAATAAAGCTCAGGATATCCTCCTTTATGAGGAACAATTTCGAAGTAAAATTATATTAATTCGATTTGATTTCAGCAGAAAGTAGGAATGACCTGATTTTTCTATACATTTTAAAATAACTTTTTATAACAAATTAAAATGTAAAACAAGAAGAATTGCTATAATTACGCAAGACAATAATTAAAAATAAGAAACCAATGTGTGAACTTCAAGTCAACCCACATCATTGTGATGCTAGGGCGGCGAATGATTTGGGTGGTGGCCAGCGGCGAAAGAGTTGCCCCAGAAACGGACATAGTGGTGGCCGATGCCAGTGCAGATGCCTCGGCGGCAGCTGCCGATGTGGAGAGCAGTAGCGAGGCGGCTGATGGATTGGAGCGTATGCTACAGGCGTCCGTGGGACTGGCGGCCATTGAACTGAGGGCATCGCCGGACATGACATTGCCCAACCGCGAACTGCTCCCATGGCCATTGGGCGATCCCACTGTCATCTGCTGTTGCTGCGTTTGCTGTGTGGCTGCGTCTACTGTGTCCTGACCACTTCCCGAATTACACTGGAAGGTAATGACTGCTCCACTGCTGCTGCTGTTGCTGCCATTCGACGAGGAGGCCGAATGGTTTGAGTGAATACTAGCCAGAGTTCCGCAAGGCGACGAATTGGATCCGACAATATAAGAATTAGTTGAGGCGACACCCGCATGCTGCTGCTGCTTGTTGGTGCTGCTGCTGACTGCACCCATGTTGCTGCTGTTGGTTGTCCCATTGCCGTCAAAGAGTCGACGAGGAACTCCACTAAAGCTTCTGAATGAACGCGCCGTTAAATGCGAATATATGTTTTAGACACAGAACATCACAAACGTATTAAGTATACACGGATAGTAAATAAAAACTTTCAAAATATTCAAACACAATTGAAAAGAAAATAAAAATCCAACAAATGCGGTACTTTTATATTTTCCCTAGAAGTAGCAAATGATTTGAGTTTATGCGATTTATATATGATAAAAGCGTTTGTTTTCGGTAATCGATGTAATCGTGTGTGTATAGTGTGGAAATTCATGTTTTCATCACGACTTTATAACCATAATGTAAAAGTAAAAATATACATTTGGATTTCCATTGTTTTATAAAGTCTACAAAGGATTTAGTCTTATTCAAATAGCAATATAATAGAAAAAAACATACAAAAACTAAACTGTTTAAATCATAAATATTAAAATATATAATTATGATTTCAAAAGTCCTCTTGGAATTCCAAGATGCATTGGCGAACACAGCTAATATTAACGATATCCCTTCTGAGTGAACAATTCGAAAAGAGGGATTTTAGGTAAATAAACAATTGCCAATCTCATTTTTTTCAACCCATTATCTATCAACGACGTATTCAATCATTTTATTGGTTTATTGAAATTGTTAATTTTTTCTTTGATTCAAAAATTCTGTAAAGAACTTATCAGTTTTAGAAAATCTTTTACGACAAAAAAAAAAAGAAATAAAGTCCCAAACGTTGTATAGCTATATATATATATAGTATACCTTTGTTATCTATCTATCTATCTAAACTGTCTAAAAAAAAGTGGACTAATTTGTTCATTTTCAATGGACTAGCTATAATGTTTAAGTGCAGTTCCAATTTATAAACAAAGAAAATAAATTAATTACAGACATTAACGAAAATGTTACAGTCCGCCTGACTTTTGTATATGAAATAAGATTTTAATATATTTTACTACTATTTGTTAGAAAAAGAAGGAATTAAATTAGACGTATTACAGTATTGGGTATGGCTGGATTATATCATTAATATTGTGTGAGGTAGTAATAAAGAACCGTCGCAAAAGCTTGCTCAATAAATACTGTACAACTCGCATTTGCGATAACGATTTAACCTTCATAACCAGCTTACATCTATCTTTAAAAAGTAGTAAAACCATCTCAATAAAAAACCAAAAATGATTAGTATGAACTTGAACAAAAACAAAACAAAGGCCAAACAAACGAGTAACGAAAAACGGTTGAAAAATGTTAAATGGAAATGATAACGGCAGTGTGGGGTAGTGGACCAATACCAAGGACCAATACTAACTCTAGGACTAGGACGCGAAAGCGGAGTCTTAAGATACACATTTTGGGACACAGTAGAACAGTATAACAGTAACGAGATGGGTTTAACAAGTAATGAGTATTAACCCTACGCTTTCTAGTTTTAGATATATCGAGTTATTTATAGGAATCTTCAAGGAATTTCATTCCCGACTTGTTTTTTTAAACATAACGCGACGCACCTCATTAGCTCGTAGGCAGCATTTGTGGAATGTGGCCGCACGACGAAGGAATCCTGAGAGGCCAGGGGTGTCGAAGAGGTTCCATTCGGAATATTGCGTCGATAGGCTGCTCGCTGGAAGGGCGTGCGCGACATGAAGGATACCGAGGTGCTGAACGACTCCGCCGGTGAGTCCACCACGTCGTAGGTGAGCAGGCGATTCACATAGCTGCTGCCCAGCATCGGCTTCTCGGCAGACTGGACAAGACGTGGAAAATTCGGTTTTCGTTCGGTGGTTGGAGTGAGAAAGGGATCCGGCTCGATGCGCTCGCTCACAATATCGGGTATCGTGCCCATCGATCGCATCTTCTGAATGGGATAATGCAGTGACTCTCGCGGACTCTCGTTGCCATCCTGACCGATGAATTTCGCGTTGCCGACTTTGATGTGATGATTGGTCTGGTGGTGGCTCAAATGCTTTACATACAGTTTCGCCGCCGACCCGTTCGATGTGGTGGAGTTCTTGCGCAACTGGTGGTGCTGCTGAAAGCGGATCCGCTCCTCCAGCGACTGTTCGTGCATGCGCTGAAATTCTTCGCGAACCGCCTGCTCAGCGTACTCGTCGAAACAGAGATTGTTCAGCGATTTCATCTTGGGTATCTGGGCATGTTCGGCCAGCTGCTTGAGGCGACGCGGGGAGTTACGATCCAGCTCCATGGAGGCCTTGTGAAAGTCCATCTCCAGAATGGACAAGTTCTCCATCGACTTGATCTTGGCCACCCGAGGAGTATGGAAGTTTTCCTCCAACCCGGAGTCATTGTCGGCCGAATCCTCGTTGGGATACTCATCTGTGTCGCTCGCCTCTCCACTGTCGTAATATTGCGTGGCATGGGACGGAGATCCGGCACTGCGGTAGGTTGAGCTGGGCGTAGCACCACCGCCAGCTGCCAGTGGATGGAACAGGGGAGCACCAAGTTCTGCCATCGGCGTGCGGAACTCCTCGAAGGTCAACGTCTCAGAGGTGCTCATGGTAGAGTTTGGGGTCTGGTAGAGCTGTTCCTCGCTTACATATTCAACTGTGGTGCTGAGTGTAAAGTGTGTGTGAACATGATCGCTTTTGTGGACCACGGGTACACTGCGGTGTTGTTGCGGCTGCTGCTCTTGACCCTTTTGCCCGTGATGTCGACCGTGAGGTATATTCAATTTCATGGCATTAATTGCTTTTTGATTGAGTCTATTAAGTAAAGAAACGGATTTTCTAAAGCGACTGTAGTTGGTTGGTATAGTTTTGCATCGCAGGCAGTCGTTTATATTGAAATCGAATTGAAATGGTGTTATTGGAGAATTGGTTTGGCAGTTGGTTAGTTGGCCATATACCCCATTTGTTATATACAAAAACATAATTTTAGTTTAAAAAAGAAAGAAAGACAAAATTAATTTTAAAAAATTTAGCAATAAATTAGTATAACTTAAGCATAGAATGGGTGAAATAATTAAACTAACGTAAAATATAAAAGGTACCGTAAGACCAATTAAAACACAAAGACAATTAGTTTTAGTATTTATGTGACCTTAACCAGATTTAAAAAATACATTTTAACCCCCACCTATATAAGCATACTCAAGTGTTAGTTTATAAATCTTATTTAGGAAATTTGAATGGCCTCGACAAAATACTTTCCTGACCTCATGCTAAGCTTTTGCACAATCATAAAAACGCCAAAAGACAAAAAGCCAGAATTGACCTTAAAAAACGAAACTTCCACAAAAGGCGGCAAGGGCAAAAGACCAATGCGCAGGCCTCAAGCCGCCAGTTTGTTGATGAAGTCATCAGATTCATATTTAAGCGAACAGGTCTCAACAATTTATCATATTGTCCCACTGCCGCCCCCAGAAATGTACCCCCTGTAATCCTTGCCAGCATGCATTTTTGAATGCAAGCCAACATGCAATCTCGCAAGTTTATAGAAACATAGGACCCCGATCTTGAACAGGGTCGACCTTAAAAATAAAACTTTGTTAATTTAATATCCGCCCAGCATCTGCATTTGGTATTAATTTTTCTTACATAATTTAAGAAACCGCAAGGTATCTAAATTTTGACTTTAATTTATGACTTTAGTTTATTTTATGAGCTAGCCCCAACCTGTACAATTTACTAATTTAAGAATTTTGTTTCGTTTAACAGATATTTTTAGCGATACCTTATTAAGGGCTAATAGAAAATTTTGTACTTCATAGGCATACATAAAATTACTTAAAAGTATGTTTTAACTAAAGATTAAAGATTTACGACAATATTAGGGCTTTAAGTAACAACATTATATTATCAAAACAAATAAAATACAAAATATAGATGTAAAATAAATTCGTTTTAAAATATATAATTATTAAATATAAAATAAGCATAGTTATTAGCTCTAACTTAAAAGGTTTTCTTTGTGAATGTATAAGTATTTGATTGTTAAAGTAGTTGATAAAATATTCAATTAGTATAGTTGAAGACAAGCAGTGATTATATTATTCAAGTTAGGTCAGACTGGTCGCGAAAAATATTATGTTTATACCCGTTACTCGTAGAGTAAAAGGGTATATTGTATTCGTGCAAAAGTATGTAACAGGTAGAAGGAAGCGTTTCCGACCCCATAAAGTATATATATTCTTGATCAGGATCACTAGCCGAGTCGATCTAGCCATGTCCGTCTGTCCGTCTGTCCGTCTGTCTGTCTGTCTGTCTGTCTGTCCGTCTGTCCGTATGAACGCTGAGATCTCGGAAACTAGAAAAGCTAGAAGATTGACATTTTGCATGCAGATTCTAGGAGTTCCTACGCAGCGCAAGTTTGTTTCAAAAGGGTGCCACGCCCCCTCTAACGCCCACAATCGCATATATACGATTTTAAAAATTTCAATATTTTGGAAAAGTAAAAATGCAGTTTTATTGTGTTTATCAATACCTATCGAAATGTAGAAGAAATTTTTTAAATCGGACCATTCGTTAAAAAGTTACGGCGGATCAAAGTTTTTCTCCATCTCTTTCGCACTCCCTTTAGCTGAGTAACGGGTATCTGATAGTCGGGGCACCCGACTATAGCGTTCTCTCTTGTTTTGTTTAGTGTATTCGTGTTAGCAGTTTAGACACAATTTAATAATGTTGAAAGGGCTTTAGCATATATAACGCAAGTAGAGACTTGAGCATTATAGTAGAGCAATTGTTATTTGAAGTATGTATGGTATCGCTTACACAAATCTTGGGCCAAATATTACAAAATTAATATTACAAGAATATAAATTAAAATGTTTTTAAAGAATAAAAGATTTACTCAAATCTTTGTTTTCGACTTACCTAGCATGTCCTGAGTCACCCTCGGAACTTTGCCTTGAATGTTGACTGTGCGAAAAACTACTATAACCCGAACCTTTTGACATCTGAATTAGGAGAGGCGAAGAACATTATGTATTTGTCAGTTTAGGTGCCTCAACGACGGACTTACTTGACTAGTATTACTGGAATTTCTTGAATGTCCCATTTCTATAAGGGTGGCGTTGCCGCCTCCAGAAAACCCGACTCCACTTCCTGTGGTTCCGTAGTTGTTGCTGCCAATGATCCCCAGCCCCGGGAGCGGCTGGGTCACAGGAGTAATGGCATAAGCAGCGGCGACATGTTGCTGAAGGTTATCCGTGGTCAGCGTTACTCCCGATTCGGAGGACTCCGACAATCCGGAGTCCGTCACAATAGCTGCGATTAAAGCCTGGTTATCGATATCTGCAAGTATTGCTAATGAAAGAACGCTGGTTATAATTTGCGATTACACAAATAAAAAGAACGTAGCGGTGAAATCGATATGCGCATGGTAAATTTATGGTTATGCAAATGCATATAGTTTTTACCATGCAATACTGGTAAAATTGATATTAAATAATATCAGTTTGCCGAAATCTCTGATATTCTCTAACTTCAAAATAAAGGGCATAGGAGAAAGACGCATTCGAAATACGAACTGTATACAGTAAAATATTTATAGAGATAGCAATTGGAATTTTGGAATTTAAATGAAATTGGAATTTTTCGCAATTAAGATTATACTTTTTTTACTCAATTCATCCTTTACTTTCAATTCATACTTATCTATAATTACACAGTTTACCATATTTCTGCCCTATGTTTAATTACAATTATACTCGGAAATAATAAGCACACACAAAAAAATTTGCTTGGTAAAATTGACCAACAAAGATAGTTACGTAACTATTTAAATAGCTACGTGTATTTTGTTTTTGCTTTGGGTTTGTGTCTTTGCTAATTGTGTGTATTTTGTTGTTGTGAAATGACTATTTACTTAGTAGAATTGACAATTTTGCTGGTTGGGGCCTGTTTGACAATTATTACAGTTGATTTTACCAAGTTTTTTTTTTGTGTGCACAAACACATTTTACTCACCCTCCTCTTTTGTGGTGGAGACTGGACGCGTTCCGGGCAGCGACTGATTGCTGGGAACGCCGCCCAAGGTGGCCCCACTTCCGCCCAAGGGTATGGCCGACCCACCGCTCCCGCTGCCAATGCTGGGCATCGCGGTGGCCGTCGGAGTTTGTAAGCCCACTCCAGTGGCTGCATTAGACAGATCGTCCATTGAAGGCTTGCTCTGCTTGCTCTTCAGGTTTGGCGTGGGTCTGAAAGGCCAAAAAAATATTAAATAATAGTACAACGATTTGTACTGCATTACTTACGCCTTAAAGAGAATATCACCGCTGAGCATGTGCATCTTGATGCTTACTCGCAACATGGAGTTGTCCAGGCGATGCCTCGAGTCATAGCCCTCTAGGAGAAAACGACGGGAAGTGAGGCCGGCGCCGGCGAATTCGGCAAGATTGAGGTCGATAAAACCCAGCTTATAGTAACTTCGTCCGCCCTTCATTTCTTTGCGTATCGAAATACGCAGGTGGCAGGGATCTAGAACGCCGGTCGACGCATTCGCGCTCATTTTGCAGGGAAACTCAAAGCTGCGGTTCCATTCCACTCGATGGTTGCGCACCTCCTCGCTGAAGCAAAAGATATCCATTACTATTTAGTGAGTCTTGAGTATTTAATGTGATCTTACCGACTACTGTACTCCTGAAAGGATCCTCCGTCGAGCAATCGTATCTTGGCAAACAGGACCTCATTGACCAGCGCCACCTCGACTAAATCCTGCAGCTGCACTTCAACATTGAACTTGTACTTCTTCTTTTTCATCATAAAGGCCATGCCAGGGGCGCTAGGCCCGAGAAGTGTCATTAATTTCTGTCCAACAATCCGGATTCTATCGCCGTCCTACCGCAAAATGGATAGAAAGTCTCCAGCGGTTCTGCAGCACCGCCTGAACCTCGCCTTTGATGGGTTTTATACGGTTCTGGAATCTTTCAGCTTATCCTCTTAATAGTTATGGATCCCTTTAGTTTGTTGATAGCTTTTATATGTTTTTTCGTGGGCTGTTTACTTTACTGCCATTTTTTCCGTGACGGTGCCCCGCGAGCAGGAGGTATTGGTTAAGGTCCGGTTAAATTCAACACTCACAGCTGAAAGTAAAATAAGCAGAAGACAACCAAGGGGTTACAAAAGAGTTTGGGAGAATGTGTGAGGTAAAAATTTATATATCTTAAAACATAGTCAGTTTGAATAGAAAATCATTACCAATGAGACATTTCCGAGATGTACATAATAACACCAAAAAAAAATGGGAATATCGAACTTTTGAAACTTTTTTTTTTCATAGAAATCAAGATTTGAGAGAAAAGTCCGAAAGTTATACCTACAATTTTCTAAATTAATAAACTAACTGGCTCCAAACCACCACCAAATTGGGGAAGAATAAAAATATGATCATTGCAAAAACAACTATATTAATTTTAATTGACCTTTACCTTGCATCATCCACATACACACAGTCAAAAACATTTAGCGGACAAGGTGTCTATTTATTAACAATGACGTATGCATATAGTTCAATAGGCAAACAGCGAATGTTTGAAATTAGCCAAATACGCAAATAATAGTTCTTATTTCAACTAGTTCCTCAATTGGCCCCTCACAATTGTTTGCAGGTTCAAAATAGATATATAAATAAACCCATAAATAATATCGAAACAAATTAAGAACTTTTTTTTGATTTAACAAAAATCGATTCGATTTTTTTCGTTAAAAAAAAACTGTATCTTAAAAACCTTTAATAAATCGATCACAAACGATCAAATATATGGCTTTGTTCTGGGTGTACTATTTATACTTTACACTGTACATGTGAAAGGTACAACTGCAATATAAACACAAACAGCCAGCTCTGTTCGATAAAAGGCGCGATGCGCACAATGACTTTATTGGGCTCGACGATACTCGATGATGTAGGCCATCGCGATGAAAACAATAATCTCCTTAATTCCATATAGTAATATTTTTTTGGATTTAAATATGTTTCGATTCTCGTTTAAAATGATAAAATACCCATTCAAATATTTTTACAGACAAAATACCAGCTGCAGTTTTATGAGCTATATAAAAAAGCAAACGCCAAAGACAGCTGACAATTGAAACTCGGTGATGACCTCATTGAAGCAATGTGAAAATTTGGCACACTTATTCCTGATAGGAACCGGGGAGCCGGATGTGACATTGACTTAATATTTTATGAACGCCTCTGCTATATATACATATAACTTAATGTATTTGTCATCTTCACACAAATGTGATTTGTCTAGACTATACATACATATTTTGAATTTAGAGTTTATTTGTTCTCAACTGAGATCTATTGTCTCAGCCACGTCGAGTATAATTGCACATACAACTATAACAAACACTGATCTACAACATTTTTTTAAGTTTCGAAAATAAACGTCAAACTTAAGTCACAGAAATAAATTAGGTATACCTAACAAAAAATAATTTGAAATAGATTTTAGCCACTTACGATATTTACTTTCAGAACAATAACCTCAGCATGTTGCACAGTGTAGCATGCGGCGTGAATTTCCACAAATGTTTACCGTTCAGAACTACACTTATCTAATAGGTACATTCAAATGACGGCATGCCATTAGATATATGTACAATGTACATATAGATAGAGATTGCGAGAAAACGTCATCGTCAATTGCTTCCGCTGAACAAATTTGTGACGAGACTCGTTACGTATTTCCCATGGCTTTGAATGGAAGCAGAATAAGGAATATTTTGGAATTTCCATACTAATACAACATTACTATACAAAAAATAACAGAACATTCATTTTAATCGTTATCAATAATTTCCATAATGATTATTATGAATCATATGGTGGGGTTGATTTTAAAATTTATATTAACTTAATATATTATAATATATTATTAAGGCGTAATTATTACGGCCCAAACTTTCAATTTGTTTACCTCCTACAACTAAGTAACAGGGTAAGATCCGTGTCGAGATAGTCTTTTATTCTAGTTCCGTCAATGATAACCTAAAAAACCATTTGCACTCAAGTCTGTGGTGCCAGATTGTAGGTTGAACCTATCAATAAACACAAAAATAAAACAAAAGAATTCCTATCAGTCCTTAACCAAGTTCGGGGGCAACGGGTGCACAGTCACCGAACTTTATCAGTTGTTCAGGGTAAACAACAAAACTAGCCTAATCTAAAGTTTAGATGAGCACACACCTAATAAATGTAACCAAAAATATGGTTTTCCAATATGAATTGTTTATTGTCGCTTGACTGCAAAGCAAATTACATGGCAAAATAATCTTCCGATGCAATGAAAGCATCTTTAAAACAGCGGCCTCTCATGGAGGATTATCCAATATGAAGATCTACCTATAAGTGACAATAAAACTCATTCGCAATTTAAATATCCATTTCCTTTTTTACTTTTGCAGACGCTGGTCAGCTCTGTACGTGACTCAAAATGCAAATTAAAATGCTGCTCTCTTTTTTCTTGGTTTCATTTTCTTTTTAATTTCTATCAAAAACCCCGGAACACGTCTGTAATTTAATGAGATACTTCTCTTGAAAGGCAGGCGGTGATTTTAATGCTTCTTCTGTACTCAGTCCAGAGCAACTGAATATAATGAATTCTAGGCGAGCGTGGGGACATACGTGAGAGAAGTATTTGAAAAAAGAATATTTCTGAGCCTTCTTTATGCACCCGGATGGACTTAGTGTTTTTTTTTAATTTTTAAAGAATAATGCCTTTTTTCTAAAAGGAATTTACCAAAGCATGTTCTCGAGAAAAACACTTTTAACGTTATCACTATGGACGGCAGTCCATGTAGTGACGAAGCGCACCAGGAGAGTGTGCGAAGGCGACTACTATTATATAGCCGCAAAATTGAAAATCTGCTGTGATAGTCCGATCGTAATGAGTAATACACCAATCGAAAGGTATTGCAAAAACTTAAAGGATTGCATACCAAGACCTCAAGAAAATCAATTGGTTTGGGAGAGAGAGAGGTGAAAGTGATAAAGTGAAAATTTCGAATTTTTGAGCTGTTGGGGCCGGTGGGGATAAATGCCCCCTCGCAATGTTTTAGTTGTAATCCTTTTAAAAATACCCGTCGAATGAGGGGTCATTTGTCAAAATTCGACGATCCGTTTAAAAGTTATAGCCAAAATAAGATTTTCTTCTTCTTCCCAAAATGAAAATTTAATTCTGTTTGTCAGTTTGTCAGTTTGTCCAAAATATGTTTTTTAAGTTCTGAAAACTTGATATGACGTTCATCACATCGATATAAAAAACTTTTGTTCTACCACTTTTGGAAAAACCCGCTAGTTTAGCGGGAAAACAGCTATAAATAGCTAAAATTCGGAAAGCCGTAACTTCTATACTACTAAAGCTACAGACTTGTGCTGCATCTCGTTTGAAAGGTATTTTTAAATGCTATAAACGCCCTCTATCTGCAATTTGTGTAAATGTAATAGTTAAAAAGATATGAACAAAAGAATTTTTTTTTAAACTTTCTTTTTAGCTTTTTTTAAATTTTCTCAAAAACGGCTCTAACGATTTTCCTTACAACTTTAAACTGTATAGCCCTTGAGATTCCTTAAATTTTGGTATATATCATGTTACTGTAAAAAATCACATTTAAAAGTTATTAAGAAACGACAATGGCCACTTTTGCCAGCTCAGAACAACTAACGCTTCCTGAGTGTTGAATTTTGTGCGTGGGTATCAAAACTGTATATTAGGGTCATGAAATCAGTTAATTTGCATTTAACAGTTCCATATAGGAATCTTTTGTTCTACGACTTTTGGAAAAAGCCGCTACTTTAGCGGGAAAAAAGCTAAAAATGGCTAAATTTCGTTAGTTTGTAAGTTCTACACTACTAAAGGTACAGACATGTGCCATACCTCGTTTAAAAGGTATTTTGAAATACTTAAACACCTTTTTAACTTAATTTGTTTAAATACAATGGCTTACAAATTATGATTGACCAATTTAAATTTTAATGTATATATTAGCTCCTATGAGAGCAAATGTAAACAAAAAAAAACTTCTGATATCAAATAAGAACACCTCTTAACGAGGTAAAAAACTAGTGACGATCGCACCTTCAACATACAAAAGTTCTGATATCAACATTTGTGACCAAAAATTATTACACTCGTCATTAAATAGACTTTCTAATATTTTCTCATTCGGCACGCTGCAATAGAAAATGCCTGTGAAGGGAAAAAGGCTGGAATAGTTTGCTAGGGCGGGCCGAATGAGAAAATATTAGAAAGTCTATTTAATGACGAGTGTAATAATTTTTGGTCACAAATGTTGATATCAGAACTTTTGTATGTTGAAGGTGCGATCGTCACTAGTTTTTTACCTCGTTAAGAGGTGTTCTTATTTGATTTTGTTTAGTATTACGCAAACAGAAACCTCCTATATCTCGAGAACCACTTCAGATAACGATTTGTTGAAAGTATAAAATAGAAAATTAAAAAAAAAATCAAATTTTTCATCGCATTAGACGGGAATCCCCCTAAAAGTAGCTCAAGTTGATTTATAAAATGAAGCAACAATAAATGGTGAAAATACAGTTTTGAGTATTGTTGGTCTTTGTTTTTGCCATTAACGCAAATATGTTAAGAAGATTTGTATATATTAGATATTTATTAAAATCAGGGCTGTGAACCCATATTATTTTTGCATGGGTTCGGTTCGGGGTTCAAACCTAATCGACAGATAATGTTCCGGAGCAGGGTTCAGGTTCGAACCAGGGTTCAAAAAAAGAAATTTTCTTTTAATGAAATAATAAAGTCAACATTTATTTCCATGTATTTTAATTGAAATATGTACCATAACATTAAGACTTATAAGTAAAGTTACAAGATTTGTGATTTATAATGTGTTTACCAGTTAAGGCAAAAAGTATACTCTTTGATTTAATCATGTAATTTTAATGTGGGCTTACTGCGAAAAGTTTTGGAAGATGATAGTTATATATTATTAGATTGTTTGCGTTAGATGCAGTCATTGCATAGACAAAATATTTGCGCATTTTTATTTCCCTTAGTAAATAAACTCTATTTTAATATGACCAGAAAGCCCCCCACAATGTTGAATAAAAA